TCCCTAGCAACGTGCCATCCTCGGCCCTTCACCCTCCCTGGTGTCCTCATTTGCAGGGCAGAGGCCGTATCGAGAAGACTGAGATCATCGAGATGGCCATCAAACACCTGCGGCACCTGCAGGCGCACTCCTGCAAGGACCCCAGTAAGTAAATGTGCGTATGCTGCTGTTGCCCTTCCCTTCTGCAGTGCCGGCTTTCCCCCAACACAGCCACCTGTGAGGTAGTCCAGAGGGTGGACAGCGATCACCGGCTGCAGTACCGGCTGGGATTCCAGGAGTGTCTCTCGGAAACGGCACGCTTTCTTGTGGATCTGGATGGTGCAGGGGACGACATGTGCCTGCGGCTAGTTACCCACCTGCAAAAGCACTTTGACAAGATCTCTGGAGCTGGTGAGCATCTCAAGGGAAAGATGGCACATGCAAATCTGTGGCAGTGGCCAGGTCTTTCCCTCATTAGATTCAGTCAAAGAATGAAAGCCTTGATGCAAATAAAGACGACCAGCCACACTTGTACTTCTGATGTTTAGGATCATCAAAAATTGCAACCACGTAAACTTAAGATAGACTTAACATGGTCAACAGTTGTTACCGTATATCTGTTTCCGTATGTAACTGTTGATATAAGATAGTCAGGCATAGCACGTATCAGTTTATTGTATGGTTGATTGAAACTACTTTTATAGTGTTGATTCAAGAAAGTACAAAATGTAGTTGAAAGGAGTGGTTTGAGTGACTTGCCCATCAATCTGCAGGGCCATGTTTCCCATCGGGCCTGATGCTCTCTGATGAGGACACTCCAACGGAACCTGAGCCTCTTCTTGAGCGGCTAAGAAACAACCCAGATTGCCAACCAAAGCAGGAACCGACAGCCCCCCACCCAGATAACTCATGTTCATCCTCATCCTCTTGTTCTTCTGTTAGTCAGTTGAGAGAAATGTTGCAGAATCCCGGTCTCAGTGTACAAGAGGTCATGCGGCGCTCGGACTACCTACTCCCAAAGCCAATGTCTGTGACCCCAGCCCCAAGTGAGGAGACCTACAAGTTCAAAAATGACATCAAGGATCGCTTCCACAAAGATGCCCAGTGGGGTACCGTAGAACGGAATTCAAGCCCTGTTGAAGAGCAGCGGCGTCACTCCCACACCCAGGGACCACTGGCACCTGCTCCGAGCCCTACGAGACTAACAGTATCCGCACCTCCTCCCGAGGTTCCTCCCGAGCCAGCCGTTAGCCCTGCGCCACCTGGTGTTGCTGCATTTGCATTGCACCCACGGGGCGCATACTACATTCCCGTGACCCTCGACCCCGCACTTGTTGAACCCGCCTTTGCGTGCATGGGCGATGACCCCAGCCCTCTGCACCCAGTCAGTATCTCGGTGCACTTTGGCCGGCAGAGAGTTCTAGGACCACCTCTATGGTCACAGTGTCCCTGGCGCCTCCGCACTAGTGAGCCCAATGGTTATGCCTGATGGACACCTCTCACATCTAGGTGATGCGTTGCGTACAGAGTGCACGTGCTAGGTTTTGACTTTTGAGAAGAAGCCCAAGTGGCCAGAAAGATGCCCATCAAGAGAAAGGGCGTTTCTTCACCAGCTGAACATGTGCAATCACATTGAAATGAAACAAGCTCCATCATTGTTTGTACCTAGCCACAGGCTTCATAGGCCTGTTGTATTTGTATACAGACGCACAGTCAACAATGTTGGTTGTTCAGTTTTATCAGTGTTTTTTCAGTTTGGGGGCACAAGATCATCACTACTCGCTGCAGCCACTGTCTCCGAAATCTCGACAGGGCAGGAAACATCCAGTCATTTCTTGTATACACAATCTTCTCATGCTTGTTCTTCATAGGCGTTTTGCCCTTGAAGTTAGTCGCAAGGCATGCACCTCTTATCTGCATTCCTTGTTGCCTCGATCAACACTGAGGCACGCAGTCGCCGCACTCTGTACAAAATGCAGAAGCTAGTCCAGTTCATTAGCCCCGTGCCTTTCTGTTCCCACATTTTATTTTTGGTCCCTGGAGAGGAAACCAGTTTAACTTATTGCTCCCTATTTATGCTGTTGTTGAGTTTGCCGAGTTTATTGTTTGAGAGTGCAGCATGTTCACCAATAAAGGCAGCCCTGTTGGATCTTGTCCTTTTCTTATTTCACTTGCCGGCTCCCACAGTGTGTGGCCCCCCCCTTTTTTTTTGGTAATTACAGTTTAGTTATAACCTCAAGCATTGTCACCAGCTACTGGTGATAGTGAGGATTTCTCGCGTATGCTTGGTGGACTTGTTAATTAGCTCTGTATTGTACAGAACTTCAATTGTAAGGAATTTAGACTGTGCACCGAGAGAGGAAAGCTTTAAAGACAGGTGTTCTCAATTGAGCACATTTCCTTTAGATAGGTGCTCTACTCTGGAGAAGGGGAACAAGATATAATTTCTGGGCCTTGGCATGCTGTAGACTCTTAGCTTGCTGTATATTAATTTCTACCTACTCTAAGCGCGCAGGTGTTCTTGCCTTTGCCCCATAAAAACATGGCTGCGATGGCCAGCAATCGAAAGCGCGTCCTCAAGCTTAGCAGCGCCAAGCCTTGCCTGCTAGCTACCACAGGTGGTCGTTTTGTGTGTGTTATGGTGACAATGCTGGGAAGAAAGATCAAGGTGCATAATCAGCAGTTTGACTATCAGCCTAAATCTGGTATTTATTCTTTGTTTGAAAATTGGTCCTCAATGCCCTGCTGCCGACATCCAAGAAAATGTAACTCTAACTGTTGTATAAGGCAGTTATGGTACAGAAATATTGGATGCAGTGGTAAAAGTAGTGTGTTCACGAGACTCTTGGTACGATTGTGAACACAGTGACCTTTTGCTATCTGAAACGGTTGCCCAACTGCCATCTGTTCCAGTCTGTAACTAAAGAAAGTAATCAAGTAAATGTAGTTTACTTACCCTCTTAGAGGCGGTGCATAATGCAGTGAGAAAACTCTTACATGGAATCAACCACTGAAGAGCTTGTTTAGTAGTGCCCAACAACGAATTGATAAAGCTGTGTGGGAGCACCTGACGGCAGACACTAATCGGTTCACATGTACTGACATTTAAAAGCACATTGAAGTACAGCATTCAGGTGGTTATTTTGCAGGCTTTTTGCAAGACATGCAAGGGTTGACACACCCTGGTGTATAGAGTGGGGCGCTTAAAATTCACCTAAAAGAAGGTTTCCTTTTTTACTATTAGAAATGAGACACCTACATATTCATTTGAAAAAATGATTTTTCAGTTTTTTTTTTTTTTAAATTTTAGGGCAGACGGTGAACGACTCGGTCTCTCTTGAAAGCACATGAAATTTTTATTCGAGCAAATGGAAAACGTAGCAAAGCCTTACTGCCAGATTGTTATTGTACTTTATATACCGAAAAGTATATTTCTCTTTGTTTTCAGAGTAATGGGGTGATCACGAAAAATATGGCCAGAATTCAATATATCACATGTAGAGCTACACAAATCGCTCACTGCACCTTCAGTCAGACTCTAAAGGAGATAATGCATTTGCTCATTCCTCTTGATGTGATTGGTGTGCATGGCTTACTTTTCAGGAATCGGGGATTCTATGCTTTGCATAGAGTTTCATACTTTGTATCTCGCCTTGAGTACGACAAATGTAGCCATTTTTGCGGTTGCAATCGTGCCTGCTGTGTGGTTAATACATAGCGAAGAGCCTAATTGCACTAAGACTACTACTTGCAATAAATTGCAGAAGCCATAGGCTAGCTTTCTTATTGCATATGTGAAGTTCTAAAAAAAATTGGACCAAGAAATCAATTTTTTTTCATAAAAAATTTATGCCAGGATGTCCCAAAGATCTAGCAGTTGATTAAATTCTTTCAGAGTATTTGTGATAATACGAGCAACTCTTAATTGTTTTGTTAAGAGCTACCATATGAACAGTTTTCATTTGTTTGGAAACTGCCAAATCATTACGGAAAGCAGGACTGGGCAGCCATAGACAAAGTGGATATATGGAAAAAGGCAACCTATTAATCTGTTTTTGTTCAGATTTCTATCAAGTATACTTAGGCTCTAAACAGAGCACCTCTGCAAACAAAATCAATGAAGAAATGGGCAATAAAAGATTGTGTAATGTTCACCATATTCTGCAGTTTGACAGCTGTAGTGTTTTGGTGGCAACACAAGGTATTTATGCTCTATTCGTGAAAATTTTGCTTTACAACTAATCGAAGTGTTCTAGCTGTCATGTATCACAGTTGATGTTTCGGAAGAATGCAGTCGGATGATTTCGGTTAGTCGCGCATGACATACATAGAAAAAGGTGCTCAAGCAAAGGCATTGCTTGCAGTTAGAAGACAGCACTAACGCCCCGCCACGGTGGTCTAGTGGCTAAGGTACTCAGCTGCTGACCCGCTGGTCGCGGTATCGTATCCCGGCGGCTGCATTTTCGATGGAAGCGAAAATGCTGTAGGCCCGTGTGCTCAGATTTGAATGCACGTTAAAGAAAACCCCATGTGGGCGAAATTTCCTAAGACCTCCACTACGGAGTCTCTTATAATCATATGATGGTTTTAGGATGTTAAACCCCACATATCAATCGGCACCTCTTGTAGGGAACCACTCATTGGCTTTTCACAATAAATCTATTGTCACACTTTCTAAATCAACACAAATTTCTTATCATCAGTAGGTTTCCGCAAAGCAACATCCACCTACAGTCAACAACATTTGTTTCAGAACCCTTTTGACCTTTCAGCAATAACACTGGACTTTTCTAAAGGTTTAGTGCAAGACATATAACCATGATAACACACACAGAAAATAAAAAAACCAGCCTCAAGCAAATAAAAGTATTGATTGCCATAGGAGCAAATTCAGTACATGCAACTGAATATTCAGTTCAGTTTTCGAGAAGCCATTTGTACACCTTGCTGATGCTTACCAAACTGTGCAGAAAAAGTTTTAGTATAACTCCAGGGTAATGAAAAGACAAAGAACACATGAATGTAAGGAATGCAGTTTAATTCAGTCGTATGACAATATGTAACGCAACGAACAGCCAACATTTAAAAGAAAAAGTGACAATACGAGCTGTATCTCAGGGACAGCTTTGGTTGTGATGCTGCAGGCACTTTAAATTTCCACCAGAAGCTGTACAAATGTATGTGGCTATAGCTTACATTTTCTTGCACACTATATGCTTAACTTCTTGGAACAGCAAGAATACTTTAAAGTCGCAAGTCGTGTGTGTCTTCAGAAAAAAAAGAAAGACAGGATTCTTTGTACTTTAACTGAAGCTATACATATCTTATTGCTGTAACAACAGCAAGACAACTGGCACCTCAGTTGGTCCACTTCAGTATGGCATGCACCAGCAATTTGCTTGTATAAAACACAAACAGAAACATCAGTTTGCATTTGACAAGCGGTTTTCACAAGTCCAGTGTGAGCAGTTTTGCTGGTTAACTGCACTAACGCAGTAAATACAAGCAGCTCATCCAGCATAGCTGTAAGCAAGTTCACAGTGCTAAAGACAAAATACGACGTAAAATAGAGTATATATTTTAGCCCTATTAACTATTCACATAACCAGAGAAATCAACGACCCAAAGCTTTGTATTTGTATCTTTACCTTCTGCGTAGTCATTCATATACAGAATGCCATTCTTCAGCAGCTTTACTTTCTTTAAAAGGGCACATCATGAGAAAACAGCACAATAAACAGAATCGGCAAGCTGTAAAGCGCATGATAACAATGAAGAAGGGCAGTAGTTTGACCACATATTGTGCTGAACAAGAATGTAAATCTATCTTTCATGGAACATATATTTTGCACTAGCCTCTGTTGGCACTCTCAAAATCAGGGCATTTATTATGCGTCACAAGGGCCTTTCATATATCGGTTGATCATCAGTAACTCTAAACAACAAGGAAATGAACTATCCTGTCTCTCAGCAATTCGAAGCTCTTGTTTTCGGATTGCTTAAGGATGCATGAGCTAATTTTCATGTAAAGTTTCCTAAGCGCTTCAATTTTTTTTTTAAAGCACATATTGTGTGTTTAAAATAATTACACCTGTTGGTTGTCAGTACTTAGTCCTGCGCTCTTTTCCTTGTTCTATTTGTTGCAATGTTTTTCCATGGAAGCCGTATCAGCACATTCAAGTTCAGGCCCCATTTCAAAAGTGCACTAGTCTTGGATCCTTTTGGATGGCTGCTACAGGTTACTGCTGTAAAACAACACCAATCAATGCAGATTATTCTGCCAAGTCCCATGCCAAAAGATTAGCAACAAAAAAGAGAGAGACAAGTCGGCCTGCTTTTTCGAAAAGCCTCCAGGCAAGTGACATTTTATCAGCAAATGTGGTGACAGCCCCATTTAGTCCGAGTCGTTCCATTCTGTGTCTGTGGTGCTGGCCTCCTCAGACTCCACTTTAGGCGGCGGGATCATCTCGAGCACTCTGTCCAAAGGTGACGTGACTTCAGCAGGGGCCGATGGTTTGCTTGTATGGTCTGTTTCACCCGAGATACCTCTGCGTCGAAGCTGCAGCTTGCTCTTCAGATCAGACATGAGGTCCCCACCAGCTGGTACCACCTGCAACAGAAAATTTCAGTTATATTAGCTTGGATGATAACCTACTTCTTGCGCAGATTTTTTTTTGACAACAAACAAAACTTGGACGGGTGCAAAAAGCGCCCATCTGTGTTTCGTCTGTAGGTGTAGGTTATCATATGTAGGTTATCATGGAGTACCAACTAGCTCGAACCCACACCTTGTTAGCTTAGCTGGTTGTTGTGATTTCCCGATGTTATCAGCATCTAAGTCACTAAGAACCTCTAAAGGGTTAGAGGTTTAGAGGTTAACGACCCCTCTGAACACTGCTATGAACATGTCAGCCAAATGCTGCAGTTGTGTGGGGTTTACAGGTGTAGCACAAAGTTTCCACTTCCTCAGGTGCGCTATTTTGATACAGAGGCTTGTTCTGACTCGCTTTGGAGCTGCCATCACCCAACACTGAACTGCAGGTAGCATGCTGTCGACCAAATGAACCCAGTGCAGCGTTTGGACCAAATGCGCTTCTTGCCACGGGGTGGCAATGCATAACATTATGCAGCGAGCCACACTCGTGCAAAGAAATAGCGAAGGGAATGAGCAACAACATATCTAACATGCACTCAAGGGCACAATGCATGCTGACGTAACTCCTTTTCATGCTGTCCTTGCTTACTTAGCTTCCAGCGTGCTTCAGGGATTCTGTAACTCCATGTCCTTGACCAATCAAGAAATGTTTGTGGCAATTGATTTATGAGGCAATAAACTCTGATACTAAGATCATGCAATGATTACTTGAAAAGTTGTTTGTGGCCCCCCTAAAGTGTAGACAATGGTAGCTGCCCTCTATAAAAAATTATTGAAGTAACTTCGAATGCCTATGTATAACACCATCAGCTGGCAGACTAGTACTGCCTTTAGGGCTGTATAATATTTCGTTAGCATTTGGGAGTAGTAATAAAACTCTGGTAAACAGATATGGTAGTAGACAGGGGTTCTCAGTCGGGAGTCAGGTATACTACATACTACGTAATTAAATCTACGGCTTGGCTATGGACGTAGAATAGTAGAATAGTGAATGAAAAGATAAGGACAAAATTATTTCTAGTTCTAGAGAGTGGAAAAAGGCAAAACAAACTATATAAAATGTAATTATGTGTTTGCATCACTCACTGCATAACATCGGCTTGAATTGATAGACTTCGACGACTCTCAGAACAATGCACATACACAGCGATAAGTTCATGTGACACGTACAGCCACTGCTTGTAGCCAGTCAATTCTTCAGCGGTCAGAAACTTTTCGCGTTTACATTTCATGCATGCGAACCGGCCGCGACGTATACACTCAATGTAACAATTACATAGGAGTAGTCGATTAGTTTGCAAAACAGGTGCGTGCAACTCGTCAGTTGACAGTAAACATCAAAGTAGGAGCCCCTCAAAATCAGCACAACTTTGACAGTGCGGACATTTTAAAGCCAACAATGTCAAATAGAGCGAGACAGAAGGAAGTTAGGAGAAATTAACAGTCAGAAGGATCATCCAGAGCGCTAAGCTAGCAAGGCCAGTTAAGAGAAGGCCATGTGGTATTCTTCAGTGCTAAGAAAGTGCCACAAAACCCCCTAGTTAGAGATAGCACATCATCCTAGCATGCGATGACAAAATATGGTTCGGATTCTGATGCCAGACCGTTGCCAATCGTGTAATTACTTAAAACGCATGGTAAGGGAATCGTTAAAGAAAAAGAAAAAAAAGGGCTGCGGTGCAACCTTACTGGCGACCACCTGCCGGTAAGCACTCCCTCACTAGAGCAGGATTGCCCACCCTGGTATAGTACTTGGCCACTATCTCCCATATGAACGCACATCAGCTGGCAAAAAATTTCGGAAATCATTGGAGCACAAGATGAATACGCAGCATCTAGCTAGTGTGGAACATTCTTACATGGAAAAAAGACAACATATCAAGTACCTCAATGCACTAGCTTGCGAGAGGAAAATTTTTATCCATTTGGTTGATGGCTGTGGCATAATGATTACAGTTTTGGGAGACTGCGCCGGAGGGCTTTTTCTTACATGTTAGGAGGCCCTGTTTTCACATACAGAGAACCCATGCTTTTAGATCATATTGAGACTGATGATGCTTGGTCATTAAAAAGATATATTGGCACGTCACCATCTCTTGCATGAAAAACAAGATCTTCTGAAATGAGTTGCTAACGTAAAATTGAAAAGGAACAACTTCCACAACTGGATCCAAGAACGAGCACAAATTACGGACAGTGTCTCTTTGATATAAACATGTGGTGTAATGAGATAAAAAAATTTTTCACTCTCAAATTCAAAGAGCGTAAAGCATACAAATATGCACTAGACGCTTACCTCTGTTTTTCATAAAGAGCACTCTGGTATCACTTTTTAGTGCCAAACGATGAGAAGCTAACTTCAGGTGCATTAGCCTCACAAAAAGGTCCTTTCAAATGCAAATTAGGTATTTTTCTCTAGGTAACAGAGAAAACTTCTGGCAACAAAAATTTAGGACTGCTCAAGTGCATGTTTTGAAAATCACACTTTAGAAACAGATCTGCTTCAGGTTCATCCTACTAAAAAGACTTAGGAAGAGAGCATTTCCAGCAGTTGTGCCAAATTCTTAATGATAACAAACAACTATTCTTTTATCATGCGGCAAATTTCAATACTATATTTTTCCCAGACTTCCGGATATCTGCATGATTCTGTGCAAAATTTTGTTTCACTTATTATCACACAGCCATTATGGTTAGCTGTCCTATAGATATACTCATAAACCAAATGCAATATATAGCCAACCACCTATAATTGATTAATGCAAGTCAGTGGTTTGATTTCCAAGCAGTTCTGGAATGTAGTCGATGAACTATACACTATGTTGTTTGCATAAACTAGTATAGGCTAAAGATCTTCATATATTAGGCCACAAGTCTTAAACGCATGGCTCTTGCTTTCGCTAGCAGCCTGCGGCTTCACACAGAATAAACTTTTATGACTTTGCTAAATAGCAGAACTGAGAAGTATCTTGGTACAAGAGTATCGCGATAGTGCCCAAGACTATCTCGATACAATAATATCATGATAGCATCTCTGAAATACTTTTGATTACCTGTATATTTAAATCAACATACATTTGAAAAATGTACTTATATCTCAATAGTGACATAATTTTACCATGTATCGCTGGACAGGGAGCAGGTAAGTTGTTGCTTCTTTTTTTTTTTGTCAGAAATGATCTCGGGTGTTTGCAGGATAAAGTAAAACATTTTTGTGCTAAGCCAAGCAAAGGCGCGCCACACGCCCGCAACATATGAAGGGTGGCGAAGGGTTCGCCACACGCACAGAATGGCCCTCGTGACAAAACGTTCAACGCCGCTGACTACAATCAATCAATATCAATAGTGACACGTTTCATAAACCCTGACATTAAATCCCCTTCAGAACTGACACATATATGAGATACGAGAAAGGCATTTTTTCAAATGGCAATGTTGGGTGACATTTTGATTAAACTCACTCTGCCCTTGCCCTGCTTCCACCATCTTCACTGTTTTCGCCATTGCGGAACTAAATTTTGCGGCTATGGCCTACTAGTTGAGGCGAGTTTGAGACCACTGTATTAGGCTGTGTCCCAAGGTTGAAGATTCTCAGTTTTTCTTTACGTACTACAGCCCATAAACCTTTGCGATAAACTGTAAACTATCTGAGTCATCCCAGCTTCTCAAGATGGATGGTACATTACATGGTTGAGAAGCCTTGCCAATTTGCACCATTTTTTACCTTTCGCATTATGCTTTAAAAAAAATGGGGGGGGGGATGCATGAAAAATACAGAATCACAGCTTGGACGGTGACGTGAAAGATGAGGAAGGGCAACAGTGGCATACTGGGGCGTACACACCGTACACGTACAGGTGCCGTGCCAATAATGGGACAATAACAGCTCAACCTCACTACAGTAAATGCATATACAACGAATCATTATTAATAATAAGGTGGGTTTAAAACAGACTAATGGCAACACCTCATCGTTGCAACAGTTCCTGCCAATATCACCAAATAAAACGTTCGATTACAGTGAGCACACCGGTGTAAGGAGAGTGTTGGTTAATGAGGTTTAACTGTACCTTATTCTCCAGTGTATAAGACACACCTTTTTTATTATAGTACAGTAAGACGGTAAGCTGGGCCAGTTGGTTTGGATTCGTTGTGAACTTGTTTACAGCGCAACACCAGAAACACGGGACAGGGAAAGAGCAAAAGAGAAGCACCGTCTTTTCTTTCTCTTTTGCTCTTTACCTGTCCTGTGTTTCTGGTATTTCCTATAGTATTTTCACTGGTGCATATTATACAACAGTGTGTCTTATATATACACAGACAGTCAGGCAATTCTGCAAGAACAATTATTGAGTGGGAGAGCACTTGTAACATTGTAGCGCTCACAGTACAAGTTACAAAAATGAAAGTACTGTTACATCATAATGTTGTAGCAGCTACAATACCAGTTGCAAAAACAAAAGTACTACTTTGTCATCATCATCATCATAAGATTTTGTGTGATATGTCGCTGCAATCCAGCAGTAGTTTCAGCTTCTGGTCATCATTTACATTTGGTATGCATGTGTGTAGGTGTTTACAGTACATCGTGATTATTGTTTATGCGTTCCCACCAAGCCTAATAATGCTGTAGAGGCAACACCAATGATGGCCTTTAAGGTGGTTACAACACCGCACCAAAGAGTTACGCAGAGGCCAACACAGGCAACCCAGCGATGCTACCAACCGAGGCAGAAATTTAAAACAGTGCATCGGAGGATATGGCTTAGAATTCAATGAAATAATTATTGGTTTTTTTGCACCTTGAGACAATATTGTTTACAATTACAAATATTTGGTGCCATGCATGACTACATACTTTGCAATGAATGTACTCGCGTGCCTCCTTATGTTTAATCTTGTTGATAGAGTTACAAATAAATGCGTCTTGTACAAAGGTGTGTCTTCTATGTAATTTCTTTTGCTGTGAAAAGTGTAAAAAGTAAGGGGTGCATCTTATACAAAGGTGAGACTTACCGGAAGGAGGGTAATACCCTTTGGTGCAAGTTGTGTCTGCTCAACAAATTTTTTTCAAAATACAGTCAAAGCAGATTATTTTTAACAACCCCTTGTAAATGCCGTGTCTTGTAGTATGCATATATAAAACTTCAGTTTACCACCAAATTTGATATATTGCATGCTATGTCGCATTGCACCTCTGCAAGTGTACTTCTCATAACAGACAGTCTCAGCAGTTGCTGCAAGACAGGGCACTGATCGGCAGCAGGAGCTACAGAGCAAGCAAAAATTTTTGTGCACGGTGCATGTCTGAAGATATTTGCATTCCATCATAATAAAATTCCTTCATTATACTTCACTGCTGTACAGTTGTATAATGCAGTGAAGAATACTAATACACTGCGGTGTGATGCGGTGAAGAATGCTGATATGAGAGTAGGCCGCAGTTCAATGACGCATGCTACCTGTTGTCATTCATTTAAAAGTGGGTACGATAGGGTAAATGGTATATGTTAGTTTGAGCACAATATCTTATATACGGCTGCAAGTATTCTCATAAAATATTACGTGCTCACAAAAAGTGCCACTGGGTATCAAGTGACACCCTTTTTTTGTGCCTAGGTTGCTTATCCTTCCTATGGTCCACTCCCAAATTTTAAAGAGGGTTCACTTATTCAATGTACCTTTTCTCTGCAACTACCACAGGGAATACAACCATATTCAGCCGTGTTGTTGTGGAGACTTATAGATTTGACTTATAGGTTACATCTGAACAAAAAAAATGCTACATTTTTATGAAGCTTTTGTAAAAAAAAAATGCTGCTTGCACTACATCACAGAGGGTGCATATTGTTGTGTAATTTTTTTACAGCTTCGCTTTTTATGAAATCAGCAATTTTTTCAGTTCAGATTGTTTCTAACTTGTTGTAGTGCATGCATACAAAGTTTCATTGAAATCGATTCAATACTTTTTGAGAAAAGGTACATTGAAGATAAAAAATGTACAGAAAAAGCTATTTGAGAAAAGCAAAGTTTTACGTGCGCATACTGCCTGCGCCAGAGGGCGTGCGGCACACTTCGGCACAGCATTTAAACCGCTTGGAGCAGCCGCTCAACATCGGGCTTTCACAGAGTACAGTGGATTTCTCAGTCTCAATATTGCAAATTTGATTTGTCATGTTTTGTCGAAATCCACTACAAAATAAGGAGACAATATGTACCTGAAGCAGGGTCTGTCTTAAGTAAAAGCTGTTAATAAATGCCTTGTGGTTGTTGTACAACGGTGCGTACTGTGTCCGTTTGTTCCAAGAGCAGCTCTTTTGCGAGACCCTATAAAGATCACTAGGAAGACGTCTGTCAAAAAAGTTAAATGCGACAAAACATAACCGTGGCACTAACATAAGAGTACCTATTACACAGTAGTAGTAGATTATATATTCACTACAACTCTCAAAACTGCATGGTACATGTTTCTGAATCAAACGAAACGATTTTTAATGCAGACCACCACAAAATAAGCAAAAAGCACACGAGGAATAGCTCCACCTGCTTGCGTTGTTGCTGTGGCCGACGCACACTCTTGAGGCCTGCCTTGCCACCGGCCTGCCGAATGGACTCCAGCAGGCTGGCGCGGGCACTGCCATCTTCCGTGATGGGCAGCGACAACTCTGCACGTGTTTCTGCATTACTCGACCTGCAAGGTGTCAACAGATTAGTGCCACAACCTGCTCGTTACTGTGTTCAGTTTCTCGAAGGCGTTGTGTGATTCTATCATTCGGGTATGAGTAGGTATGAGGCAGCAAAACTTTAAAAGATACGCTAGTTACTTTTCACTACATGTGACAAACTTTGTCAACAAATGGACAAGAAAGACATTGTCACATGAACACTGCATCAGTCCTGTTTGTATTTCTTTAGTCCAGTCTTCATATTTCAAGGTAAAAAATTGTCCACGTAATCACAGTTTTTTCTAAACAGACACAGTTTGGGCTAATAAAGTATTTCTTCAATAGTTGTTCTTGTTAATTTCACAGCAAAAGGTTTGATTTTCACAATAGATAAGTAACCAAAAGTTCGATTTATTTCGAAGTGCTTAAGTATTTTCAAGTTTTGAAGAACAAATTGAATGCAGTTTTATTTGACTCTCATCAGACTCTCATTTGTAATTGCAGTGCCTTTCTGAATACTTTGCCAACTGAGAAATACCACACATGAAAGTCACAGACGTTTCTCATTCACAATGGGCATAATGCACTAGAGCATACTGAGTTGCTCATAAGACTTTAGTAGCAGTTAAACATAATCATCTTCAATAAAATGTTATGTAGAAACAACATCGTGCCGTAAGTATTTCGTACTATATAGTCAAACCTCTTTGTGACAGACACTGACATAAGAGACAAATGGGTATAAGAGACACCATTGTGCCTTCAGTAAAATACGGATTGATAGGAAAATGCATACGTAGTACTCTGTTCATGAGATACTTCTTATATAAGAGACTAGAATTACTGCCTGCAGCATGCCTCTTATAAAGGGGTTTAACTGTATATAAATGTAGCATTGCACTCTCTTCACAAACAGAGTTGTAGTACTCTGTATTTGCACCTAAATTACGTAAAGCTTTTAGAGAATTTGGAGTACGCAACAAAAAGAAATGAATCTGGGTCTTATTGCCATAATAAATCACCATGTCTTTGTCCCGGTATAGCAGCTTCATCTGCCACTATATTTCAAAACGGGGAAAATAACTGCTTTTCTTCTCAATCTGCCATCTGCATAACTGCACTGCAGCAGCTGCCATGAAGCCGATGCTTGTGATGAATGTGAAACCAGCATCTGGCAATGTTATCCATCATTTGCGCAAGCAACCATGAAAACCATGAGCTTTTGCAGACTTATGGGACTGGAAATGTGACAAAAAGTACCACTGCAAAGTAGTGGACCATGACCAATATTGTCCACTGCATTGTTTACCGCTCTGTTAATTTATGATAAGAAAGGTGTATTATTGGTGTATTAAGGTGTATTATTAGGTGTAGCTTGTTTTCACAAACAAACTCGGAACATGACTGGCATATCTAATTCCATTTCTTGAAGTGATGTGGATGTTTTATCAATGCACTTATCACCATACTTTATTAGACAAGGCTCTTATCACCACATGATCTAAGAAAGTATCGTCGTAGCATGTATGGTTCCTGTGTCACTCTGGCCTTTTTCAACATTTTTGTCATGGCTCCCAACAAAGCACTAGATTTCAAATCTGGCGAAATATACCACTCAGTTTTCACCAAATTTGCATCTTATTGGGCTTGCCATAACATTACTGTACTGAGACTGTGACATAAAATTACTTTATATGAAGGCGAAAATTAATGCCTATTAATAGCAGCAAGAAACAGTAACAAAAATGTCTTCTGCATCATGAACTAAGTTACATCAAGGTCGAACTCATCAGCCAAACTTCACAATTTGTCCCTTCTCAAACAGCCATTGACGTGCTCTTTGCAAAGGTGTATGCATTAAAATCAAATTTATGACAAACCGATATCACAGTATTGCTGAATTTCCATGCACGCTTAGGAAAATTTTGAAGTCTGCAAGGCACATCACCACCAGAACAGCAGTAGATGCTGCTCAAAGTGTGTTTTGAATGTCGAAGTAGCAACCCCGCCGCTGTAGTCATGGTGCTCAACTGCTGACCTGAAGGTCGTGGGACCAAATACCGGCAGCCTTTCAATGGAAGCGAAATGCTCGAGGCCCTTGTACTTAGATTTAGGTCCATGTTAAAAAACACAAATGTCAAAATTTTGGAGCCCTCCGCTCAAGTACCCGTCATAATCATACTGTGGTTTTGGGACATCAAACTCCAACTATTATCGCATTTTTTCTAAAACAGTCTAAGACCTGGTTTATTAAAAAACTCGCACCTTGCAGACTGTTGAAATCAATGATACATTGTGCCTGGCTATCATCACACATACAAGTGTAAAAAAGCAATAATGCTTGTACGTGGACAGGGTTGGAGGGAGACGAGGAGGAAGAGGAGGTTAGAAATAAAGAAGATGGCTGACACCCCAGCCTAGTACTGTGTATTATTACAAATTGGCGAAGCCGCGTATACTTTCTGTGCGGACATTCAAGATGTGGGTGGACTTCAGCATTGGAGCAAATCAACGCGGTGGCATCCGGATCTTGACAGCAACGCCTCAAGATGAAGAGGAACTAGCTCTTCCGGAAGCAGTAAGCACTGACGCATTTGTTTCCTATATAAGCAATAAAATAAAGCTCACTCCAGACTATTTACTTGCTAAAATAACGGTGAGGATCAACATGAAACTTCAGGATTATGAGAATTTCGTGCTGACTCCAGTAAGAAACGACGCGAAGCCTGCTATCGCTGCTTCGCCAGACAGTTCCGTCGAGCTGATCAACAAGTTTCTTGAACTACACCAAGAACAGAATAGGCAGCAAAATGATTTAATGCGCTTGCTTGTAAACGCGACGGAAAGATTAAGCAGACCAAGTCGCGAACAATTGAAGCCAGACATGTTTGACGGAGAGTCTAGTAGTCCCGAGTCCTGGCTCACGTTTTACGAGTATGCATGCAATGAAAACTACTGGCACAGCGACGAAGATAAAGTGAAAAACATGCGACTATTCCTATTGGGCATAGCAAAGAGTTGGTACGAATGACGTCTCAACGCTCACAGCAACAAACCATGGACAGAGTGGAAAGCAAGCTTTCTGAGCTCCTTCAGCGAGAACAAGGTGTTGCTATGGGACAAAGCAATCACGTTCAAATACAGGTCTGGATCTGCACTCAGATATTTTTATGAGAAAAGGCGCTTGTTACAGCTAGCGGACTCATCTTTGCCTGAGACGTCTGTGGTTCCGCTTATCATTTATGGTTTAAGTCCGGACCTCCAGAAGCAGATACAAATGCGAGGACCCAAGACGGTCGAAGAACTTCTTCAGGGAATGCGAAACCTCTACCTCCAGGACCTAGGAACCCAGCGTGAACCCATGACACCTGCTGCAAGGAATACCGGGGCCACACGAGCTGAGGAACGACGCCCGCTTGCAAGCTGGAGACCTACTGCAACACCCATATCTCTTGTCAACGCAACATTGTTGTGGGAGGGAACTGAAGAACTTAAGTTTCATAACGGAAAGTTCACAGTCCCAGAAACAATGGTGCCTCGAATTTTGGAGCTCTATCACGACTCCCCGCACTCAGGTGGACATGACGGCTTTTGGAGGACATATCACAAGATTCGTCAGCGTTTCCAGTGGAAACACATGAAAGAGGACGTTCAACGGTATGCTCAGTCTTGTCATCAATGTCAAGTTCACAAAGCCAAGTACCTTCAGAGAACAGACGAGATGGTTTTGCCTCAACATTCCGACGTACCATTTGAAGTCATTCATCTGGATTTCGCAGAGCTCAAGAAGAAGGCTGCAGGAGTAAGAAGAACGCAGTCTTTCCTAGTGGCAATAGACCAGTGCACAAGAATAGTGGCTGCACGGCCGGGAAGAGAAGACGCAAATAATGTGATCGCTCTTTTGAGTCGAGAGATGTTCAAGAATACGAAAATAGTAATATCAGACAATGGGCCAGCGTTTCTCAGTCAGCGTTTGCAAGATTGGGCGAAGGAACGAGGAGTTGTATTGCGACGCTGCGCTCCGTACCATCCTGCAGGAAATGGCATGGCTGAAAGAATCATTCGGGATTTGAAGCAGTTCATTTCCATGTATCCAGGTTTTCAGGGTGGATGGAAGTGCTGCTTGGAGGCAGCTGTCGCTCATCACAATCGGTCGCACACTGCGAGCATCGGCTGTAGCCCATATTTTGCTGCTTTCGGAAAGGTACCAGTGCTTCCTGCTGATCAAGAACATTGCATTGCAGACCGCCTGCAATTGTGCGAAAAACGAAAAACTTCGGAAGCCTACCAGCGATACCAGGAAAGTATGAAGAGGAACTTTGACCGTCGGCACAACACGCGGATACCTCAGATACAACTGAACGATCTGGTGCTTGTCAGAAAAGGCCTTCCCGGCACAAAGCAGGCGTACATGGGACCTTATCGCCTGGTGCAGACCGCAGTGCAACATGGCGTTCTCAAAAGGGTCGGTTACATCAACGATGATGGTGTGCTGGAATTTGCGACCATTGGAAACGTTTTCATGTATCACCCCAGGAGGGATGAGTCTTCAAAGAGGGGGAGTGTACGTGGACGTTAGGCAGGGTTGGAGGGAGACGAGGAGGAAGAGGAGGTTAGAAATAAAGAAGATGGCTGACACCCCAGCCTAGTACTGTGTATTATTACAATGCTTAATTATTTATCTATGCCCCTGCGTGCCATTATGCCATCGTTTAGTTCAACACTCGCCTGGTACTTGATTCTAGAGCACTTGCATCGCCCTCATGAGGCACAGTCTCTTCAGGCTGCAGTTCTGGAACTTCATCTGGCTCCAAGGGAGGTGGACAGTCCACTACAGGCTCAGCGCTGCCATCCAGTGGTGGTAGGCCACCAGAACCCACTTCAGGGAGAGATGGTGGGACATCCTCAAAGCTATCAGCTGGTACTTCAGGTAGTTCTGGAAGCCACGACGGTGCAATAGATGGTCCCAACTCTTCGGAGTACGAAAGGTCATCAGCTATGCCTGCGGAAGAGCAACCAAAGGAGCTGAGCATCGTGAGAATTAGATTTCGAGGATTGTGGGAATTTATTTCATGCAAAGCAGTTGGTGAGTAGCTGTGTATGCTGCATTTATTTTTTGCTCTGAGTCTCACATTACGGGGAGATTTTAATTTTTTTGTGTCCACTGGGAATGTTCACTCCCCTACAATAAATCTTCTATAATGTCAAATATTTAATCTGTACTGATTTACAAGGTCTGCACTCACCGTTCCTGGCTTTATAGACTGTGAATAGTCTGAGAACATCCCCATTTGACAGACCGTAGCAAGTGGATATACATCACGCATGACTTAAAAGCAGCAAGCAATTCACACTACTCATGTTATAACTAATAATTTTTTTCACTAAACATTCAAGTCCTCAGTGGTTAGATAGATCTAGAAATGATCAAAGTGACTTTGATTTGCAAAGAAATGCTTTGCAGTTAAAATTATGGGATCCCACTGGCTATGTCTTAAAAGCCTGCGTGGTCATTGCGTCCTGTGGTTGACAGGCTGGTTGCTAGCAACATGTATGCTATTGTAAATGTTCTTACTGGATCCTGTATGACACGTCACTGGGTGAATGAGTCAATGTTGGCTGAGGAAAAATTGTACGTCTACTGATGGCATAGTAACGGCACCAAGGAGCCTGTAGTTACCTTCACGTTCAAGTGAACCCCTGACAAGCAGTATGAAGAAGTGGCAATGCATTATGGCTTAGCATGCCATAGTTTGATGTGCCAGGCACTTAGCTTTGGTTTCACACTTTTCAACTTCCAACACTTTTTTGAAGCACTGCAAGAGTGACAGTTTTGCATGATTTCCAGGATAGTTACCTGCAATGGCCAGAATCGTCTGCAAAGCGCTAATATTAGAGGCAGTGCAGAAGGGTTTCTTGAAGGGCTAGTTGGTACATGATACTGAGGGGAACAGCACAAAAACGGGACGGAGAAAGATTGAACACACCTGTGTCATGTGTTCAATATTTCTCCGTCCCGTTTTTGCGCTGTTCCCTTCAGAGGCAATGGTTCATTCATGATGCATTTGATCCTTGCTGTCACAGGATTTCTTGTTTTTTAGCTGGAATGCTCACGAAAATTGAGTTATTGCCATCAGAAAAATTTCCAAATCATAGTTGCGATTGAAAAGATACCAATAATGCACACTTTTATTTTAGAGTAGCACCCCCCCCCCCCCCCTGCAATGATGCCCTTGTGGTGCTGCAGGTACTTGTATAAATAAATTAAAAGTTACATTTGAACACTATGGCAACAATGTGCACACCAAACCCTGGAAAAGCCTAAAAAGCTGTTGGTGGTGTCATGCACATACACCACCCATAGTGCATTCACTTGTAGCTTAAGCCTGCCCATTTAGAACTGCGACAGGGCATCGCAAAGCGGAGACGTCCCCGACACCCTCACCTGGCAGATGAGGAAGGGCAGCAGGGGCATCCATTTGTGGCACCTGACCCATGCCTGGGCTGTACAAGAAGCCCTCCTGTGGTGCACCGCGTTGTCCCGTGCCGCTCATCGAAGCTGGAGCTGCCCCAAGGAGCCCTGGCCCTGCTGGTGCCTCTTCCGTCCGAGCTGTTGTTCTCTTGGCTTTGCCCAGCGGGTCATGCTGTACATACCTCGTGTACCTAGAAACATAAGCACGATGTCCAACACTTTCCGACATGATCTTAAAACTGAGGGTGTACTGTAATCAACAGTACTTCAATGAATAAGCCCATATTGAAAGTAAATTGTAATAATTTATCCTTTTCTCTACTTACATTCTTCGTTGTGCAGTGCCTGCAGTGTAGGCACGAAAGCTTCTGTCTGATTGCCTAATATTCCACCTTGACATTGATAGTTTGCCACATTAATGGTGTATAAGCTGACACAATCATTGCTGTGTTGCCAATATTTCATTTATCGTTCGCAGTCTGATAACCTTATACACACCTTCGGTACATCCTGGTCCAAAACAAAAAAAAAAGCAGAGCTCAGGCAAAAGAAGCTTACTTATTCTTTCAAAAGATGATGCATAATTCAGTCAGAAAACACATACATGGATCAATCACAGGAGAGCTTGTTCAGCACAGTGTGACAACGAAGAGCTTCACCCATGCTGTCCTATCGAGTGGGGCCTGACAACTAAATGCTAAGTGTTAATTACAATTTTGTTATACACTCATAGGAGAGAGAGAGAAACTGATACAGGAAAGACATGGAGGTTAACCAGACCAAGACTCCAGTTTGCTACCCTGTGCTTAGGAAGAAGGAAAAGAGACGTAAAAGAATGAAAGAGAAGAAGAGTTGGTGGCAGTAGGACAAAAAAAAAATTAGTGACTGGAGCACTATCCGAGCACTATATTGTTTTGTGTACCTCATAGAAGGTACACAAAACAAGATAAAGCCACGCACGATAAAAGATCACAAGAGGTGTTGGAACCCTTATGACCCCAACCTTAAAACAGCAAAATGAACCGTGAGAAAGTATAGCACAGCATGTGGAGCTTATAATAACAAAGAGCAGAGCAACTTGGTAAGTATTCTATTGAAAAGACAGGGGGAGCAAAACAGATACAACAAAGAAGTCAGGCCACCACAAATTCCGACTAAAAAATTGTTAGTTTGTGTTTCTGGCACCTCGACGTCTTTCTTCTGTCCATGTTTGCACGCCCTGTCTTTTACCATAGATGGCAAATGCTACACTGAATGTTCCTTACGGGTTATCCCCTGTGTTGAATAAAAGCAAGCTGCCGATGCTTTCTGTGCTTTCTGGCAACCTGCCGAGGCCTTCCTCGTTCTGCCAGGCAGGCTTTGAGGCAGTCAAGTTAGCCTTGGCAGGTGGCCGAACATTGAAGAACTGCAATTTCTCCTTGAGGAGTCGCTCATCAGGGGCCACGTGCTGACTTCGGATGCGCAAGTGACTTGGCTGGAATGGCACAGCTGGCAAAAAGGACTGTAGTTCTTGAGCAAGTTCTGTGTCGCTAGCAGGATATTTGTAACTGGAGAAAACCTGCAGAAACATGAGCAGTAATTTAGCACAGTGCAACAGCAACATAGCCGGGATATAATTCATGGGAGGGGGGTGTCCACTGCACACAAGTGTGTATGTTACATACACAAAACAATAAAAATTAAAAGAGGTGTTAGACACATCCCAACCACAACCCTATAACAGCAAGATTGACCATGATAGTGTATATCATAACACATGGATGATAGGTAAAAAGTACATAGAAGAGAAAGGTGCACAATGCTCTTTCTTCTACTCTAATTCTTTTTTTTTTTTCATCACATGACTGCTGTGCTATATACTGTCACAAACCACATTTAACTCACCCCTGCTTCTACCGTTGTGAGCAAGGTGGACAGCAAATGACAATCAAGGTTAAGGAGTTGCATGGTGAAGATGAAGAACTGGTGCAGGTGATGACAGATGTGCACTGCAGAGTGGAATAACTACACCAAGACATATATGGCGACAGTGTGTGTGTGTGTGTGTGTGTGTGTGTGTATATATATATATATATATATATATATATATATATATATATATATATATATATATATATATATATATATATATATATATATTGTGAGAATTCATTGTACGTCATCTTCCTCATCTATCAATAACCTCATCTATCAATAACCTCATCTATCAATATATATATATATATATATATATATATATATATATATATATATATATATATATATATATATATATATATATATATATATATATATATATATATATATATATACTATAAACTCGGCGAGGTTACGCGCATTCTTGGCAATCTCGGAGGAGAGCAGAACGTACTAGGCATACAACCACTTATGACTTACCTTTGTCGCTTTGCTGCTGCCACGTATGGCGGAAATTTTGGCTTTTGCCAACTCTGCACGATTTTGAATGCTCTGGAGGCGGCCCTTGTACTCATTCAACCGTTGCTGCAGACCATCCAGAATTGTGTTGGCGACTTTGCCGAGGTGATCGAGACTATCCGCCACTTGCAGAATGCACTCATCGTGACGAAGGTCCGATGGTATCAAACGTGCCTCGTACGGCTGAAACTTCATGCCGGGACGACAGCCGAAACTTCGATCAGACAGCAGAAACCCTGCTCACGCACGGACAACTCCAGCGCCGTGCTTACGAAGCTGCGGGCGTCTTAATGCTCTGCATTAGAACCACAAACGCCTACAAGCTGCCAGCCGCACTACACTGCTCAACTGGTTCGACGCACGTAAAGCGAAGAAATCACAGCCTGCTGATCACATGCCGATCATCCTCTCGAAAGTACGCACCTCACAAACCTCCCCGCCCTCTCATGTAAGACCACGTGACGTGTTCGTACTAACTTGACTACTTATCGCAGCTCTGGTCACCTTTGCTGCTTTATAACAGTAACTTCTTCAACAAACTAAATTGTGCTTAAGTAGTTGTTCAGTAAAAGCAGTGATCAACGTTTTAATACGAAACTGTCGCAACAACGTATTTATGTTGCATGGTATGCTGGTTACGCGAAAGTAGTGGATTCGTCGTGCGCGAGTTCATTTGACTCGTGAACTCGGTGGCGCGTTTCGTCGCGGCTTTATGATGTGCGAATTATGACTTCGCCAAGAAAGTGATGGGGCCATTCTTCGAGCTTCACTATGACCGAAGGTTCGAGCTGTCCACAACAAGAGCTCCTTAAACGTTTGCGCGATCTCCAGGAGAGCGCGGCGGAGAAAGACACGCTCATCGACGCCGACTATCTGAGGATACAGGAGCTGCAAAGCAGAGTGCGCTTACTTCAGCAGGAAAAAGCAGCGTTGTTATGCGACATAAACGATATTTGTGCACAACTTGGATTCCCAGACCTGGAGGCGCTCGAAAATGAAAGGTGACAATTTATTGTAATCGTTGTACCTCAACATTGGTGCCGACGCCAACTACGGTAGCAGTGCGTCAACATTCTGATGTATCACTGGTACTGCGCTTGCAAATCATCGTGTAGCAGAGCGACGTGAGAATGCATGCCGAGGTAGCGTGTTGTGCAGGAAATTGCTGTTTATCTTACGTGAACCGTAGGCCTAACAGTTTCGTTTACGATTATAGGTTGCATAAATTACAGGTTGTGTAGCGCTGAAATGGCTTCTAGTGGAAGTTCCGTCCAGGGTAGTTATTTACAACCTACGGAGACAAAAATTGACTCTAACGTTTCAATTGACGTCACCGCATGTGAAAGGAGCCATCTCGTAATTGAATCTTGAATGGAAGACTTGTGAAGCAGGCTCTCCTAATCGCATTAATGAACGTGGGAAATTCCACGCTTGGAAATACGATCGTGTGGTGAGTGGACATCTGTGGCGAAGTCCCCCGCACGGTTTATATATATATGTATATATATGTGTGTGTGTGCTTTGTCCACCAGTTCCAGTCGCCATGAGAATGGAATGCGATGCGCGACGGCGGAGCAGCTGCTCGGCAATGGTGACATCTGATATGTGCAGAGTAGGTGGAGAAGCGTATCATGTCGCACCGCCGAGCCGACGCGGGCGCATTGACGTGGTCCCGCGAAACCTTTCTTGAGACCTGGCCGGTGGGTGCCCGCGTGCACCTGCCAGAGGGGTTTTAAACCGTCCGCTGGGCGTTTTACGGGAGGTGTTTGCGCGACGCCGCTGCCACCAAGGAGACCGCAGTTGACGGTATGCAGCTGCCCGAGAGCAGGTGCATGTTGCGATGGCGGCGAGGAGGAGTGACCGGCGGCGGCACGCGACAGCTGTCCGGCGGGCACGCTTCAAGGCTCGTCTGGAGAGGGCAGAGGAGAGGGGAGCGCTTTCATTTATCCGACCATGTCTGTCCGACCGGCCGCGCCGCACGCGTTTTCCTCAAAGCGTCGCCGCCGCTCCGAACAAGACGGCAAACCGAGGGCCGCCGCCGCGCGATAACGGCTCGTCGAATAACGGGTCTCGTGCGCGTGTGGGTGGCCCTGGAGTTTTCGGCCGCGGCGTCCGGTGCAACTGGGCATGGAGAATGCGGCCGGCTGCCGTCCGACGCTTTGTCCGCGCGTCGTTGTTGCCTGGGTGGACGGGCGCCCCCCGCGGTGGTCCATAGCCGGGAGCTCCCAGGCGTAGCCGCGGGCGCATCGCCTCGGGCGTCGCGGAGCGCAGAGGGCGCTGCGCACGCCAAGGACGCGGACCTCGAGCGACGACGGCTGGTGGCGGAGGTGGTGCAGCGGTGGGCGGCCGTCATGTTCGGCGTCGGCGAGCCCCCGCTCGTCTGTCAGGAGGCAGTGTTCACGCGGGACCGCGGGCCACGGGCATTCCTGCACCCGTTCAGCCCGTACGGCCGCGCCGTGCTGCGCGTCACCCAGCACAGGTAGGCTGGCCGCCTGACCCAGATCGCGGTCGCCATTGCGCGCTCCCAGTCGGGAGGAAACGGCCCTCGGCCAGCTTGGCGATCGCGCTTAGTAGTGGCGCGTGGCGGGCGCGCGGGTTCGTGCGCGCCATGTGGCCGCCCTCGCAATGTGGATGCCCCCCGCGAGCCGCTGCGACGAGCTGCTGTTGCTGTGGCGCTGCCTGGCCCTCCAGGCGGGCCTGGCGGGCTCCGGCTCGGCACTGCGGGTCTGCCGCGACCGGCCGTCCTTCCGCCGCTATCCCGCGGTCGACCGGTGAGCCGCCCACAGGGCTCGCTCGGCCCGTGTGGACAGAACGCACCATTGAAAAAGGGAACGTGCCGCGTATTAACCGAGATGAAACGAAACTGCCGATTCTGCTTCGTGTGCTAGCGGTGGAGGAGAGAAAAATTGCTGCCTTCCTTGTTCGCGCACAACGCCTGCGTCTTGCTCGAGTTGATATATGTCGCACACCTACGAGTGCAAGTGCAGTTGGCCGTTCGCATCGATCGTTGCCGAATGAAAAAAGCTCGTGCGTTGGCAACTGCGAAACCTGTCGAGCCACACGAGGCAGCGTATAATTCCATGCATGGTTGCTCTTGTCTGTGCCCATTGATGCATTTCGAGTGCCCTCGTTCGTCTATTCACTGTTGAAAATGTACCTCCGGCAGTTTCGTTTTATATCGCGCTTTTGAACGTGTCAGTGGATCGTGTTGCAGATTTCCCGCTGGACTGAGACGTCTGTTAACCGAAACCAGCAAGGCGCGCTGTCATTAACAGTTTTGTAGCAAGCGGGAAGTTTATAAAAGCCATAAACTTGGGCTACTTGGGAAAACACAGCACCACGGGACGAGGATGTGTTGTGAAATTGCAGTGCCGGTGCCGCCAAGACACAAAAATAAGCGCCACGAATTTGTGTTCGAAACAACTTGGCCCTCCTCATGAACAAAGACGCCCAACGTCACACCTAAGTGATGTTGCTTATTAAATTAATGTCCACCGTACCTTTATACCGCAAGTTTAAAGTTATAGCCGCTTGTGCATTTAGAATGCATTGATGGGCCTAGAGGAGATCCGTGTGTGGTTCCCACAAAACACTCCGTGTCTTTTGTTACCTGAATTGTTGCTCCTTTGGAAATGTGTGTGCAACGTGATAATTGAGAGTGAAACTTGAGTACTGTTATAGATGGGGAATTTGCCCACAAAGACATTTCAGACATTTACAGTGCTCTCAAAGAGAATCATAACATCAAAAGTAATAACAACTGGTATGTACAATTGCTCATTATTAAGCACCTCGTGTGGTTAGAAATTTGATTAAAAACTGTCATGTAAGCTCAGGTTTAAGTGTACTAGCCAAGTTTACAGCTGAATCTCACATTTTGAAGATGATTGAAACAAAATTTCATGCATTACTTGGCCCTAATCTGATTGATTTTATTTTGTAAGCAATTTACACCCCATTTGCATATTTTGACTCAGGTTCACTCCACACTGCAAGAGTATCATTATTGGTTTCGGAGGATTACTGCTCTTTGAAACCATTTCAGGCCTTCCTTAATTGCATATTGTACTAACTAAAATCGTCGTATTTTTTGACATAGTGACCTTGTTTTGTAACTAAGTTCCGAGTTACTGAGCATTTTAAGGTGTTCATAATGAATTTTATACATTTTTCAAGTCCTCCTTGGTTTATTTATCATTGCCATGTATTGTGTAAATAAGCTCAATCTAGTAAACAATGTATTATTTGAATATTTTGCAGCGTGAATTATGTAAGGCCTAGACTAACCTGAACTAGCGCGAGCTAAAACCTATTCCATAAGCAGGGGCAAGTCAATCTAGATATGATTTTTTTCTTTTCCTGTTAATGGATCCTGTTGGCAGTTGCTTTCTTATTTGTTGTACAGCTGGCCCTTTTGTGTCGCTAATTATTTCTTTTAGGCTAGCTTCAGTGATCTTGCAAGAATGTAGGCCTTTTCTGAGATTTTAGAAATATGAGCTGGGAAAGAGTGCCTATGCCATCAGTATTCATGTTCACTGTGTAGTCACATCGGCTTGCAATCTGAGCATCTCATTTTATTAATGAAATTCATTCTTGCTATGAAGTTTAATGTGTGTACCAATGTATCACTTGCTGTGAATGGCCTGTTATTTGCATCAGTATTGCTTGGTTCAGCTAATGGAGGCAAAAATGGTGTAGGTCCGTGTGCTCAGATTTGGGTGCATGTTAAAGAACCCCAGCTGGTCGAAATTTCTGGTGTTCTCCACTATGGCGTCTCTCATAATTGTATGGTGGTTTTGGGACGTTAGACCTCACATATCAATGCCTCATTCAGCTAGCTGATCAATCCATGCACACATATGGTGAAAAACTGCTCTGAAGTGCATTTGCAAGAACTTCGGCAAGTCATTATTCTATACTTATTGTGAACTTTGTCCTGTTTGGCCATAATGTACTGTTTTGAGAGGCCAAAATATTGGTTAATGATTCTGGTTGGATGAGCACTCTTTTGATAGGTTTTGACATGTAAATAACGGTAATGTAACTTGTCTATAGCAAACAAGCTTTGGTTTCACATTGGTGAGTCATATTTCTTATACCCATGCAAAATTTCGCTATTTGACATTCATTAACGTTTGTTTTTTTTTCTCTTTTCTTTCTTTTGTAATGTTGAGATCAAAGTTTGTGGGTGGAATGTGTGTGGGGGGAGTGGGTGTTTTTCCCCTGTTGTGTATAATATTTTTGGATTACCAGGAATGACGATGTACACAGTCATGCACACAAAGAGGGCAGTTTGCATCCCAGTGTCGTGCCATTCCCCACCAGATTTTTAAAAACGCCATGTGCTAATGGATTTGCAACAATAGGCCTGGGGTACGGCCTGATAGTGACAACCAGCCGGTAATAAACTCCTTCACCAGAAAAGGGATTGGCTACTCTGCTGCAGTACTTAAACGCTGTCTTTTACATGAATACACCACTTTGGTACACTAAAAGAAGTTTTTTCATAATAGGTAGTATTATGCTGAATGTACACATTTCTACTGCTTGGTTTTCCCCACTGTATTATTGAGCCTTTTACTTCTCAAATAGACACTAAAGTGTTGTTAATTCAGCTTTGTTGTTTATGGTTCCCAGAACACCAAATAGGGGTCCTAAGCGAAAGCGTCTTGCAAAGGATGAAGTATGAAGCGCGAGGTATAAATCCAGTAAAACGGAAGAAAGGGGCTCTTTTTGTAAACATTCCGTACGTTCACAGCATTTCCCATATGCTCAAAAAAGTTGGGGAGAGGTTCAGACGTAGTGTGATTTTTTTTCTGCTGCAGACAAGCTTGGCCGCATTTGTGCGGCTGTAGGTAAAAAGTTATCAGGACAAAGCAAGCGGGACCACGGGTGCGACATGAAGCACCGTGATAAATTGTTTGAATGTGGCAAAAAGGTAGTTTATGATACACCATTATCTTGTGGAAAATGCTATGTTGAGCCGACAGGACGGTGTGTAAACAATAGATTGTTTGACCATAAGGCTTCTTTGAGAGGGACACCTTGTTCAAATCTTTCGTTACATTGCAGGCTGCGCACCCTTGCTATCAGAAACTAGGGTGCTCGCAAGAATGAAAGGAAAAGTTGCACGAGAAATTGAGAAAGCTTATTTTATTAACAGATTGGGCGGTACATGCGTAGCGAGGCCCTCTATCACGTTACGTGCCACTGAGATAGATTATTTGACTACTTGCAACTAATACGATTTATTTTCTGCTAATATAACTTGTGACTTTGTTGACGTTTATATATATGTGTGTGCTTTTTTGAATAAATTCGGTTGATAGTTTGCACTTCTCTGTCTCACGTGTTTATTTCACGCCAAAAGCTAGGTTAATAATGAACCAACTGGCCCAACAAGTCACTCTACTGTTGTTCATGGCTGCTTTTCTTTTTCTGCCTTGAAATTCTTGGTGTTTCACATTTTGATGCTTTTTGGAGTGACAGTCTCTTTGAATATGTGCTGCAGCCAGCCGCCTGAGCTGCGGCCGGGTCCCCCCCAGAAGCAGGCTCGGCCTGAGGATGGGGTGGACGGGGCTGACCAGGGGAGTCCCCCCAACCGTGGCAGCACACCCCCCCGCAAAGCACCCCCGCTGCGTCGCCTCGACGATGAGGCTCTCAAGCGGTCACGCCTGCACTCCCAACAGTAAGTGTAGTTTTGGCTCTTTCAACTGCGCAGCACTTCAAGGAGGTCTGGCTTATCATCCATCCGATGTGGTGTGATTACACTCACCGTAAAGCGCGCGACACAGGCCATTTGAAAGCTAGAAATCCTCATCACTGGGTGTCAATGAATGAACAAGATCCAAGTATAATTAACAGGAATAATTAAGAAGTAGTAGCAATAGTAAACTTCTTTAAAAACGTTTTGGACATACAGGGCTGACTCAGGTGCATCACCGCCTCGCTGAGTAAGCTGATGCCCCTCCTCCTGCTCCTCACGAGCGAGGAAAGGCGGCACATCGTTGCATTTGGTGCGGTCGGGGACTTTTGATCAAAATGGAGTAAAGAGCGTGGTGGAGCTGGCCACAGGTAACGCATATGTAAACTTCGGTAACATGCCAGAAGTCGACAAATTGCAGAAAAGGTAGTACAATGTTGCAAACTAAGATTGCAAAACTCCCTAAAAAGGTTCTAACTGTGCCAGAGAAGCCCTGTATACTTAGCTTAAGCATTGGCACCAACACCGCTTTGGTAAATCAAGCAGTGGAACTAACGGGAATTACTGCATGCCCATGCTATGCACTTCCTTAGGTTGCACAGCAGCAGAGCTGCGATCCCTTTTTTTTTTTTTTTTTTTTGGTCTGCAAACTAGTGTGCTTTTGTGGTTCACTGTCTTACTGGTGGAGGCACAAGTCTGAGTTACCGGATTGGTGGCACTACAAGACAGCAGAAAGATCAACCAGGCAAACACAAAACTGTTATTGCAGTGCTTGCATATTGCGAAAGTGTTCACTTTTTTTATTATAGTTATCTTTTTTTTTTACAAGAATACTTGAGGAAGGTAAACATGTCTAAGGTGTTGTGGTCTGTCATAGGGACAAGCTATGTCCCTGTCATTGTCCTGTAGTCTGGTGTTATGCATACATCATTGCATGTGCTGAAATTTCAGAAACCTTAAAATGCTTTTAAGAGAGCTCTAGAAAAAACAATTATAGCAAAAGCAAGGTCGTATAATACAGCAGTACCAGGAATGTTCCTAGCAAATAGCCTTCGTGGAACCGATTCTCCTGACTTTAATTTCAAGAAGGTTTCATAATTTTCCAGCTCCTCTTTTTTTCTTTTTCTGTGGTTTTTTTTAACAATTGATGCCACTATTGAACACTGATTGGCAAAGCAATGGTAATGCATGAGTAAAGAAATGTTTTGAATAAATCTTTGAAATATTCTGGGCTTTTGTATCACGAATAATGATAATGAGGGGGGCCACATAGGTGCCACTTGAGAGTTTTTAAAGAAGCCCACTTCTCTGAATAATCGCCAAATGACCTTACCATTGAAGTTTACAGCCTTGCGAATCGATTGCTGTATAAGATTGCTGCATCAAGGGGGGAGGGGATATGTGAAAAATTTCAATTTTTTGTAGCAGCTTTTAGTACCGAATGAAAAACCTTGACAGTGTGCAGTCTGGCAGTTTCATCGGATTAGGCTCAGGTGTACCGTATTTACACTCATAATTTGCGCACTTTTTTTTCGCAATTTTAGGACCTCGAGAAGGGGCTGCGCAAATTATGCGGGAATTTTGCAAGGGCGTACAGAATATATCGTCACAGACCTAACGTGTGCAATATATACGTATAAAAACATTGGAGCAGAAACGAATTGCACTTGTTAATTTAGAAGATTTAGCAGGTGCTTTAACCAGTCTGATCTGATCACGCTCGATCTAGTGGGAATCATTGATTGCAAAGTCCGATTGGGAGTCATCGTCGCGGCCGCTTCCACTACCCTCCCAAAGCACATCGTCCTCGGTTTCGTGGAGTGCGTTCGAATGCCCCATTTCTTTTTGAAGCTCTTCGCAAGAATTCTGGGAGAAACTAGGTCCCATGACACGGTGGTACAGGGTGACTTAATCGCTCGCACATAATTGAAAAGGCCTTCTGCAGTGGCAGGAAACTTGCATAAGGAAGCGCGCCCTCCTTTACTTTCTCGTGTACCGATCGCGCCGATCATCACACAATGAAGTACTTCACCTTGAGGTGCTTTGCAGGGGCACGGTTCTCGTTTTTTTCTGCAAGATTTACAACTGTCAGCTTCAATTTCGCCATATATATAATTACTGTAGCACATTGCAAGGGAACCATAATAAGCCGTCGGCCGGATGGCGAAACCTAAAGTTCCGAAATCGACCAAGCGTGTGTTACAGTGCGGATGCAGAGAATGAGGGAATTCTAGAAACCCTAGCTTGAGAGAAGTCCTCGGAAAAATTGACTGTGTACTCGCAGTCCATTTGACTGCGCTTGTATGCTCGGCAAAATGCGCGCCCGTCTGAAGAATTGGAAAGTCTCTTTGTGCGCGCGCCAGCGAGCTGGCTCGGATGGGTTGAGGTACCCAAAATATGCGAGTAAATATTTCTTTAGCAAAGCTGGCAAAATATTAAGGGTACGCAAATTATGCAAGTAAATACGGTACTTTGCCCCTTCCTTCATTCTATGTGCAGGTATGAGCTGTCGCAGGACCTTCTGGACAAGCAAGTGGAAATGTTGGAGCGCAAGTACGGGGGCGTGCGGGCACGCACGGCAGCGCTGACCATCCAGCGGGCCTTCCGCAGCCACTGCATGCAGAAGCGCTTCCTGGACTTGGCCAGTGCATCCAAGGGGGAGCGTCGGCTCTCGCGGCGCATCCATGCACTGGACCTGCTCGGCCCCAATGGTGCCAGTCCTCCTTCCTCAGAGAGTGCCCTGCCGTGGCCCGCCCACCATCGCACCCCTACAAAAGGAGCCTTGGCGGAAGCTGCGGCAGCTGCGGCGGCTGCCAGCAGGCGGGTGCCCCCTCAAGTGCCCCGACGATCTTCCTCCATTCCTGGCACCGCCACCACAACTTATACTTGCTCAAAGGAAAGCTCTGGGAGCTGGAAGCACAGTGGGGTGAGTGTCATAGTAAAGTTACTGTTTCCCTCCGTTATAGCACTGCATACTTCTTAAGTCTGTGTTAAGTCTGTGAGAAGTTGGTTTTCTTTTTTCAAGTTTTGATGCCATCATTAATGCCCTTAGCTTTATTGATATACCAACTAGCTTGGACATCAGCATTTTTAAAATCATCCCCTCTGAGCTTTTCATCGTGCATGCGAGAATTGATAACACCTGACGCACTCCTAAGAGCTGGCTAAATAAGAATGTGAAGCTTAGTTAGCCATTACGTCTCCAAAGCTGCTTTCAGTGAGAAGAGTTCATGCGTTCTAGAGAGTAACAATTAGGCCCAGCCTTCTGAGATTTTATGGATGTTGCTGGATTCTCACACGGGTCTCTTAATTGACCATGACCACTCTCTCTCCCCCTTAAGGTGTCACTAACTTATATTTATTAGCTGCTTCCTGTATTGTCATCTCTGACTGGCTGCTTTAGGTTGTGTCCTCCTTTTTCTGCCATTCTTTCTGGCTTGAGCGTCAGGGCTGGTCATGCTTTTTTTTGGAGTGAAGGGGAAAAGATGGGCTGTGTGATGAACACAAGCGCTGAAGAAGCTTCCAAATTAATAAAATGTTATTAAGCAGCTGCATTGTGTCTGCCCGCTACTCTACGGTCTAAATATGCTTCTCTTCTTCAGTCTCCAGCAACCCAAGCAGCGTCTACAGCCCCACCCAATGGTAGTGGTCAGCCTGCGCTGCCCTCAGCGCGGCCAGAGGACAAGCGGCTCAGCAACATTTCAGAAAACAGTGAGGACAGTGTGGACTGCCCCGCGTACTCGTGTTCGCCACCAGCCTCTGACGTGCTTCTACTCTACCCACATCAGGGTCCGGGTAGTCCTAAGGACTCCTTAGGCTCCAAGGTTTGCAACATGATTTTCCTCTTAAGCTCTGACATTTCTGTGGCCAAGGCTGGTATTGCACTGCACACGTATAGTATGTGCACATACACACACACAAAAACACACAAGTCTGTGCATGCTGGCTAACTGCATGTTACTCCTAAGTTGAACTCATGTGCTCATATCATGCTCTGCATGTTGGTAGTACTTTTTTACTACTATTCGTGTGAAGACACAATAGCGGTCATTGTCTCTGTTTTGATCCGCTGTAATATGTAGTCAAATAGTAAGCTCATGTTTTCTTTCGGTATTATCATTTACCCCTTAAGTGCTTTATTTTTGTTTTCTTTTTTAAATTGGCAGCCAAGCGTGCCTATTTTTTATATTTGATTTTGAATCTAATTGTACTAAAAATTAAAAAAAATATTTGTACCACATACTTAGTCAAATCAGCACAACAATGTTTATTTCTAAACTATACATAGGAAACCAGCCACCTGCTTCTAATAAAGATACACACTTCATAAAGAAAACAGTTGCAGACACCATATCTTTCTTCACTTGTGTAAGCTAAGCACCCTTGAGCTATATGACTCTGGAAGCTTCAGGGCTGTTTGAAAAATTTCAAAACACGAGATACAGTTAAACCTGCTTATAATGAACCTCCAAATGACAAATTCCTCGATATAATGAAGTTTTTGTATTCCCCCCTGTTGCTCCATAGAAGCACATTTATTTGCTACCTCTATGTAACAAAGTAACAGCGGGAGACAACCTTGATACATCAAATTTTCCCCCCGGACAATCTAGGAACTTTGCCCCGGATTTTGTCATTTTGGTACGAGCATGCATCTTCTGCGGGTGCCCTGCTGCCATTGAAACACAAAGCGGCGGCAACGCGCACAGCGCGCTTTTGGTCCCGGCAACAACTAGATGAGAGCGAGAGCTCGTCACTGCTTGCGGGTGAGCGCGAGGCAGGCAGGCGGGCCTGTGCTTCACAAGCTAGCATTGCAGGCGTTCTTGTTGCCGAGGACGCAAGTGCGGTTGTGCCCCCCTCCCTTCCAAACCAAAAACAAGAAAAGTACTTTTGCGTTTGCAGCGCCGCGCTGCATGTGGAGGGTGCTTTACTAAATAGTTTTCTGCGGCATCTCTGTCGTTTGCACTTCGGTTTTGAAGCCGTGCGCGCATGCACGATGTGGCCCTCGACTACGTTCAGCTTTGCTTTTTTATTTTTATTTAGTTTATTGAATTCTTTTTTTATGCGAACAACCATGTCATAACTAGGTATATAATCGTCAGATTAGGCGGAAATTGGAAACTCTTTGAGGCCACAGTAACGACAGATCTTCAGAGGTCGACTCGTCATGCGCTTCCATCAAGCGCAGCGTCGCGAGTTGGCAGGCTCATAGCCTTCGCGATTAGCCGATTAGCTTTGGTAACAACACGATGGCGTGTTGAATGCAATGCAATGAATGTGACGGCAAAAAAACGTATGTTGTACGAAGTAAGGCTGGCAGCCAACCCTTTTAGATCCGATATCACGGAACTCCTATAAAAGGCTAGTGTAAGCAAATACGGCCACTCCAGGGAGAAGTGCTCTTTTCTCACAGTCTTTACGCATTGAGAGTGCACTGATGCTCACCGAGATAGCACGTGTGCCAGATATCTCTCTCGACCGCCCTTAAAATCAAAGTTCTTCATTGTTACTGTGCGAGCCCCCCTCCCCCGTGTTTTCTCATTTAAGACTTGTGGTTTCCGTTCTGTTTGAGCATTCAACGGCAGTTCTAACACGTGGGGGGTGTTATCTCATGAGCCTTCGAGGCGTTTGATCTCTGCTTCAGCAGCGCTCACGCATGTTTGCCCGCTAGTGAAAATTACGATGTGTGGGGGCATGTTATCAATTTGCACTTGTTAAGAAACGTGGTGGTTATGACAAACACCAGCCGACAGTGTCTACATAATTGCTATCGTAATAATAATGCAGTTTTTTTTACTGCTAAACAAGTATTTTAGGTTAGCTCTGCCTTCGGTACCCCCTTTTGTTTAATTTGTGCATTTATTTTTAAAATTTTTGTCCCAAACCTGCATATAACAAAATTCTTTTTATAATGAATTTTTCCGAGGATTTATCAATTTGTTTTATCCAGGTTTAACTGTAATACAAAGTGGCTTCACTGAAGGAGCCGCTCAATTTACCATCATTCCTGTCTTCACTTCCAGACACAATATAAACGTCTGCATTCAAATCATCATCTGTCGCAGAAGATGATGCTGAAAATGAAAAGCTTCTTTTTCATGTTTACTGCCAGCTATGCATGGGTCACCGCCACAGTATGCCATCTGTTCATACGAAAAACGCAGTGCTTCTCCAGGAGATAACTAAACCGTTGAGTAAATGCTGCCATCTGGTGGATGACACGATATCTAAGTTGCAGATGTCTACTAGGAGGAGCTCTGCTCGTCCATTGATTGATATGTGGGGTTTAAGGGGGGACGCGGCACTTCGGGGCCGAAAATCAGCCAAAAAATCGAGTTTTCGCGGACCTTCTTTTCGCGTTCCCGACATCATTGCGCACCTATTTACAAAATTTTATAGCCGAATACCATCAACTTTTATCGTTATTCAACTTTAAAAAACCGAAAACGGGCGTCCTGCCCTTTAAATTGAGGGCGAATAGCGCAGGTTTCGGCTCTACGATACGCGGGAACTACGCGCTCGATCGGTGCCATTTTGGTCTTGTTTGAAAGAACGCGTTTTCAGCTGTTTTTTTTATTCAGTAAGCAACATTGAGCGTTTTCCCGGCTCGAAAAACGGGGCCTCAAAGACGAAGAGTCGCGCTCACTGCCATTGGCTAAACGGCGCACGTGACTGAAATGGCGCTTTCCGGTTGGCTGGAAGCTCGCGGCTTGCGCCTGCATACGCGACCCGACGCCATTTTGAAAGGGTTACCGCTGTGACGCCTCGAAATCGGCAGAGCACTCTGAAGCTTCTGATCGTATCACCATGCCTGGAAACGCAAAAAAGTATCGGACCGTGCACGCATTTGGTCGCAGGAAACGCAAAGGTCGTGGGAGAAAGTCTACGAAGTCATCAGAGCCCTTGGTTGACTCCGACGAACGATGTGTCGACGCTCCGCGGCCGTTCAGCGATGGTGCGACCGAGCGCGTTGCCTCCGACGACGATGACGGTGAAGCGAACTCCGGACGACTACGAATCGACGCCAAGGTGGTGACAAATGCCGAAGTTGAAGAAAATCATGCCCGGGAGAAAGCGACGCTCGACCGGCTTTCATCGGCGCCAGCAACTGCACGGAAAATTGACTTTTTCACCGCGAGTTGTAGCAAGGCAACCGCACAGGACTCGGACCACGCTGCTCCTTATCTGCTTATGCATCTAGATATCCTAAACGCGATAATGGGTGCCTTGTGTTGCAAAGCCTGCCACGGACCGGCTACGATCGTCAGAGGGGATCGGGACTACGGACTTGCCGTGAAAGTGCTAGTGCAGATCGCGAATGAATGGACTTCGCCCCGCGCGAACGGCACGAAAACGTGCAATCCGTTTGAAGTAAATCTTCTCGCTTCGAGGGCGATGGTGGCTACCGGCAACGGCCAAACGAAAATGAACGATATTTTCGCAACAATGGGCATCTCACATCGCGGTATGCACCACAAGACGTTTCAGCGGCATTTGAAGAACACGCTAGCACCCGCTGCAACGCGAGCGGCTGAGTCTGCTATGAGCGAATGTGCGGAAAAGGTTAGGACAATTTATGATGACTTGTGCTTCGGCCACCGGGGCAATATTGCCGTTAGCTACGACGGCACGTGGAAGACGCGAGGCCATTCTTCCCACATCGGCGTGGGCACAGTTATCGAATTATTTAGTGGCTACGTGTTGGACTACGTCGTTCTTTCCAACTTTTGCCTAGGCTGCGAGGTGGGCCCAAAGCCTAGTAGTGAGGGCTATCAAGAATGGAAGGCTAACCACAAATGCCAAAAAAATACGAACAGCAAAGCGGGGCAAATGGAAGTGGAGGCGGCTCTAATTCTATTTCAGAGGTCGCTTGAACGCCATGGCCTGCGCTACACAACTATGCTGTCTGATGGAGACTAGGACATTTTGCGCCATACAAGACGCCAAGGTGTATGGTTACATTGACGTGCAGAAGTAAGACTGTATTAATCATGTACAGAAACGGATGGGCACCGCATTGAGAAACCTGGTGCAGAAACAAAAGTGCGATGGGAAAAGAGGCCTTGGTGGGAAAGGCAGGCTCACAGGTGAGCTGATCACCAGGCTGAGCACATATTATGGCCGGGCTCTGAAATCGCATGAAGGTGACGTGGGCGAGATGCAAAAGGCTGTGATGGCCACATACCGCCACGTCACCTCCACTGATGAATGCTCGGACCACAGTCTGTGCCCAGCTGGTGAAACTTCATGGTGTCGGCACAATGCCGCAAAAGCAAAGGGTGAGCCCGACCCCAGGCATGCCTACAATCTACCGAAAGACGTGGCAGAGGCATTACTACCGGTTTATACCCGGCTTTCGGAAAGAGCCCTGCTTCAGAGGTGCGAATGCGGCAAAACGCAGAACTCCAACGAGAGCCTACATTTGGTAATCTGGAGTTTGGCCCCCAAGGAGCACCACGCGTCCCTGTTCGCTGTTGAAGCAGCTGTTGCAGAAGCAGTGCTGCGCTTCAACACGGGCAATTTGAATTCTGCAACGGCAATCTTAGGTGAAATGGACATGAATGCGACAAGTACTGGTGCCAGGAGAGCGAGAGAAAAAGACCACCGTCGCAGCATTGTCTCCAACAAGAAAAGAACAGCCTCATTGGAACTCCGGAAGCTAGTGAAGAGAAGGCATGAGCACAGAATGCATTTAGACTATGCTTCTGGTGCGTTTTGAGGTTGTCTTGTTGCATCTTCTGCAATAAAAATGTGTGCCCACGTTTTTTCTCGATTTCTCAAAAGGACAATTTTCATGTGCTTCCCATTATGCCGGAGCAATATCTCTTGTTCTATCTGGGTTATCATTACGATTTCTTTTTTGTTTCGAAGATAAATGCAGGGGATGTGTCGTAAAGTAAGTTTTATTGTAATAATTTTTGGAGAAAATTCTCTAAATGGATCTTTTGTTTCAAGTGTAGATGGGGAAATTTTTCATGTCATATTCAACATCCCACAACTTTGCTTCGAAATAGCCCAGAACAATGATTTATACTTTATTGCACACTGTGAACATATCGAATTGGTTCTATAGGTTGCACATCAATATCCAAGTTACAGTTAATTAGCTAATTAGGCCTTAATTGAAAAAGTCGCAGTTCATTATATCTTTAAAACTAATTGTCACAGCAAAAAAAAGAATTAGATTTTTGAAATCAGCAGTAAAATCTACATAGGCTCTCCAAATTTGACTGAGGTACTCGCAAAAATAAGAGTTTTTGGAAGGTGTAGCATCCCCCCTTAACGTCCCAAAACCACCATATGATTATGAGAGACGCTATAGTGGAAGGCTCCGGAATTGCAGCACACCTGGGGTTCTTTAATGTGCACCCAAATCTGAGCACACGGGCCTACAACATTTCCGCCTCCATCGGAAATGCAGCCGCCGCAGCCGGGATTCGAACCGGCGACCTGCGGGTTAACAGCAGAGTACCTTAGCCACTAGACCACCGCGGCGGGGCGCTCTGCTCGTCCAAAGCACTAAAAGAATTAAAGGGCACCACCAGTAAACAAGGCCAAATTATATTTGCTACAGGTTGCATGTTCTCAAGTGTTTTTAGCGCCTCTCATAATTATATCGTGGTTTTGGGATGTTAAACCCCACATATCAATCAATCAAGTGTCTTTACTATTATGAACGGTACTTGATTAGCACTGCTGCTGTCAGTCTGCCAAAACAGCATGTATTGCGGCTATGCACTTTGCACGTTGTTTCAGCGTACATTTCTTTTCAAGTGTGAAGCATTGCTTTGCGAACTTCGGCGACTTAGAGCGTATCTGTCTATCTATCTATCTATCCGCTTACATTTAGGTGCTCTCATGGTCACCCCCTTAGTCTGGCATGAACCAAAATTAGCATAGGAGGTTAAGATGGTTTAATGAATATGACGCGCTGGTCAAGACATGAATAATGTCACAATCCCGTCGCGTACGCCTTCAAACACTTCCGGTCAGACAGGGGCACATACCCACAAACAGGCATGTGCCACTGGCATGCGAGTATGTGCCACAGGTGATTGACACTTTGTATCTACCCAGGAATGACAAGAACACACATGAAACGTGCGAGTGTTTAAGAAATACCCGACATCGGTATCGTCGACCCGACGGATGCGAAGAATAAATGTCAGGGTCCCAGCTGGAATTAAACCCAAGCATTCTGCGTGGCAACGAAGATATAGCTACGCCAGGTCTCGGAACTACTTTTCAAATAGACGCTAATCTTCGTGTAACGTCAATAGTGGATGCAGTGCTGCGTAACCAATTTTATAAACATTACATACGTACTCCTTTGATACAGCCGTCAAGTCGGGTTAACGTCAATTGTGGTTAGTTGCCTTGTGCTGAAGTTCATTTATCTAGCAGTGTCCAGGGCTAGCATCTTCAAGAACATCAGCACTTCATATCAGCTTCTGGTGTTTCTAATACGCATGTTCCAGTTGGCATCATTGCACAAGTGCAAACTGGTTATATGAAAATCTGCAACTCTTCAACATATGTCAGCGCGTGCAACATTTGTACATATATTTAGCGTCATTTCATGACGTGTCGGTCAATAAAAAAATTGCAACACGGTCTCTTTCCCTCCGCATGTTTCACATAACGTCGATTCCCAGCTATGCGAGATCTGCTGAATTTTTTTCGTAAAAGTATGTGTTCACCATTAGATTTCGGAAATCAAACTGCAACAGCACAATGGTTGCACTAAATTTAGAAACTCTAAAATTAAAGCGATAGGCTATGGATGCGTTGATTTAGCCATTTGGAGTTGCCAAACATTTTAGCTATGGCACTCGTGTCAATCAATTGATCAGCGGAACTTTATTTTCGTGATTAGAAGTGTGTGTACAATAATTAAGCGGGCTGTTAGCCTAAAATGGCTCGTGGCAAGTCCAACGAAGATGTGCAACAAGATATGCACAGGATCCGCCAAGAGAGAAAAAAGAAAACATGTGCATTTACTCTGCATATTTTACTCTTATAATGCTCAGATGCATATTTTTAAACAAACAGTGAGTAACTCGAACCATTTTTTTCAACATACGCACAGGTTTACAGGTATTGAATATATTGAAAAAGTTTAGGTGATAGGTGAAAATTGCAGGCAGTTTTTAGCTGATGTTCCAAGTTTTGTACCGTAAGGGGCTGCTTTTCACAGAATCAGTTCCAATCTCATGCTGCTCTGTATATACTCTTTTGCAGGGTAGTGAGGCGCTGCGTAAGCGCCAGTACCGGGTGGGGCTGAACCTGTTTAACAAGCGACCCGAGAAAGGAATCCGCTATCTGACAGAGCGCGGCTTCCTGGATTCGTGCCCTCGAGCAGTAGCCAGGTTCCTCATTTCGCGCAAGGGCCTGAGTAAAATGCGCATCGGCGAGTACCTGGGTGACCTGCAAGGTCCATTCAATGCCCGTGTGCTGGAGTGCTTCGTCGAAGAGCTGGACTTTGCCGGAATGCAGGCAAGTGCATGTAGCCATCTCTAAGTAACCTTCTTTTACTTGAGTTTTGCTTTTTTTTAGTTTTCGACTGTAAAGGGTCTAACGGATGCTCAATTGAAATCAGTAATTCAGACTGGTATGTTTTCTTCAAAAACAGCACTGCCACTAATTTGATCATCACATGTTTGTTTATAAAAAAACAAAATGATGGTCAAAGTCTCATTTTTTTAAAGCCGTAAAATATTTGCAGATGAATGTGAGCGTGATGTCGCAGATATGATGGCATGATTGTATATTGGCCTCATCGGTTCAACAAAGTTCTGAAAGTTGGTACAGTCGAGCCCGACTATATCGAACCCGTTTATATCAAATTATTCCGTATATCGAACAATTCCTAAACACGGTAAGTTTACATTGAGAATATATAGCAAAAGTTACTGTTTTATCGAACGAAAATAGCAACGACAACTGATATATCAAACTCCATGTGCCTCAAAAGAGCCCCAGCAAGTTGGCTTTCCCTCGCGGTGGCGAGGAAAACTGCCGGCGCCACCCTAGAAAAAGTTGGTTAGACCCGGTTGTGTGCGGGCGAACACCCCCCCTCAAAGAAATGATCCTGGCCCGCTCCCAGAGCTTACAGCCAATCGGTGGCCGTCATGCTTTCTCCGAGGTGCGGAGGCGGTAGAAGTGAGCGCCATTTTTTCTTTTGTTATGCTTGTGTGCCTGCTGCTGCCGATTCAGCGTGGTCTGTGGTGTTGCCTGTTGGTGCTCTGTGAACTGTATTGGCGTGCTGTCATCATGGCTTGCGCAAAGAGGCAAAATTTGCCGTTCGCCGCGAAACTCGAAATCATCAATCGAGTTGAGCGCGGTGAAAGGAAGTCGGACGTCGCCGCCGCGTACAAAATTCCAAGGAGCACCTTGAGTACTATCCTAAAGAACAAGGCAGACATCAGGGCCAAGTTAGACAAAAGGCCAGGTGCCCGTGGCGCCCGACGTGTGCGCGCTGCTGTGTACGAAGATGTTGAAGAAGCCGTTTACAAGTGGTTTGTGGACATTCGGTCGCGAAACATCCCGGTGTCCGCCCCTATGATCAAGCAGAAAGCCAAGGACCTTGCTTTTCTGCTTGGCATGAATGATTTCTGAGGCGGTTCAGGCTGGATTCAGCGGTTCAAAGAACGGCACGACATCGTTGGCAAAGCTGTTACAGGTGAAAGCAGAGCGGCGGACCTGGACAGCGTAGAAAAGTGGCGAGATATCGCAGCAAAATATAGAGCCCAAGATATTTTCAATGCGGATGAAACCGCTCTATTTTGGCAAATGTTGACAAACAAGACACTTGCGTGTTGTTGCGACAAGACAAGCGACGGCAAGGCAAACAAAGCTCGTGTGTCCGTGCTGTTGGCAGCTAATGTAGACAAATCGAAAAAGCTTCGACCTCTGGTTATCGGGAAAAGCACGGCACCACGGTGTTTTCGAAATGCGCTGTCGCTTCTAGTTACCTACCGAGCAAACTCAAAAGCGTGGATGACCGGGGAGCTTTTCAGCAGATGGCTATCGTCGTGGAATGATGATTTGGTAGGCGAAAATCGCAAGGTGTGCCTGCTCGTGGACAATTGTTCATCGCACCACTGCAGTACGACCTTCAGCAACATTGAGCTGCGTTTTTTGCCCCCGAACACTATGTCTGTTCTGCAACCACTGGATCAAGGCGTTATATGCGCAATGAAAGCCGGCTATCGGAAGCGCCTGGTGGATAGGCTGCTGCAGAACCTTCATGTCGGCTGGCAGCTTAAGGTCAACTTGCTCGGAGCTATTTCTATGTTGAGTAGATCGTTGGCAGATGTCAAGAAGGAGACGATCCAGAACTGCTTTAGGCATGCCGGCTTCCGCATGCCTGGTGATGACATCCCAAATTCTGACAGCACTGAAGACACCGCAGGTGTTTCCACTGAAGTTTGGAACGAGCTGGCAGAGTTTCCGGGTGCTATCGATGGATCGACATTCGACGAGTTCGTCAATGCGGACGATGATGTCCCCATCATGGGCGAATTACAAGGTGAGGATTACATTGCAGACGTCGTGCTGACCACGAGCCAAAGCGACAGCAATATGGAAATCGACGACGGCCCATTGCCTACATCCTCCGAAGTGATTAGTGCACTTGCGTTGGTCCTGCGCTATTGCTTGAATGTGGAAGGTTGCGGCCTCAGTTGCTGCGACTTGTTGGACAACGTGGAGGCGTGCGTGCTGTTGCAGGCAGCAAAGTCGTTGACACAGAAAAAAATCCGGGACTATTTTGTTCCACAGTAGGGCACGCAAGTAAGCCACCATATTAATAAAGTACTTTTCTTCTAGTTTATGTCGCTTTGTGTCAAAACCTATACAGGGCCTATATCGAATTATGCCATATATCGAACTAATAAACGTTTTTTGGCGAGTTCGATATACCCGGGTTAGACTGTATGATAAAGGGCCAGTAAACAGGCTCCAAATTGTTTTACACCCCCCAAACAAGCTCGCCAATTTGTACAGTAGACTGCAGCGATCACATTTTTCGAATATTACAGCACTGTGTGCTGCGCAGACCCTCCATTTCCGGGAAAAAAAAAAAGATTCCCGCACCTGAACAATGCCCCTCACGCACACCTGCCTATGGGCAACTAGTCGTACCGCTGAGTTCGTCAATTGGCCTTTTGTCCTATGAAATGGCGCCTTGGCCGTGTGGGGATTCAGTTTTGGCTACGCAGTGCACATTTTCATTTTTTTTTTTTACTGCTCTCTGCCATTTTGTAGAACCAAAGACACAACGGGAGAAGCGGTATTGCCAGAAGGAAAGCCTCGGAGATACAGGCATTTCACTACTTTACCGCTAGGGGAAGGGTGCTCCTCTCACCACGCTTCCTCCCCACACTGCTATGACAAATGCTCTTGTGGGGCAAGTCCTGCTCGATTGTTGGCTGCGCGCCAATTACGTACTGCTGACAAAGTAGGTGGAGTCACGACGATAGGCTCCGCCTTCCCCCTTCCTATGAAAGAGAAGAATGGCAAGGCCACGGGAAAATTTGAAATAAGCTGAAACAGATGTCTTAACCCCCCTAACTTCCTTATTAAAGCACGTATTCACATAACTATTGCAGCAGCATGTTCACATAGCCAAAGGGCACACATTTCTCATTAAAATTTTTGTACCATAGGGTTGTTTACTGGCCCTTTGCCCCACCAGATAATGTAACTTATTTTTCCCAATTGGGAACCATTTAGGCCCTAGTAGTTGCTGTCAAAACCTGATTTCACTGCTAATTCATGCGGGAACTTCAAGGTGGCCTTGTTTCTTATACTTTCTTTCTACATTTTCTTGATTACCAGGTATCTTCTTGCAGCTTGTCAGAGTGTACATTTTTCCTCTTCAGTGTCCCTGCAGTGCATCTTCAAGGGCATATGCAAAATGGGTTGTGAACCAAGATTCCTATAAATTTTGCAAGAACCGTTTCATGGGGGATTAGAATGCGTCGCTGGGCAAGTTGGTGGATTGTCTGAAAATAAAGGAGTGCCCATTTCTGTCTACTTGTTTCCTGTGTTTTCTTTTTTTTTTTTTGCCCTGCTTTTATTTTCAGACATGGGGGACTAAATTGTATATTTTTGAGTCAAACTCGGCCATGATCATAATAAAAGGATGCTAGTGAGGCTTGCATCGCTGCTATGTCATAGCTCTGTTCAATTGGGAATTCAATTTGCACTCTGCCATGTTATACTTTGTTACAACTTTTCAAACTTCTCTACAATTTGATATACTATATGGACTTGATGTGTGTGGGTGCAACTGTATATGAAGGAAAGAAGTGGAAATTTAAGTGCTTTTTTTTCTTTGTTAGATGCAATAGTTCTCATTAATATTTCAACTGTATGTAGAATACACCGTCTTCACTTTGGGTAAGTTTGTGTGCTTGGAAAGACACTATTGCTTTCATGAATTCATCTGTTCGTACAAGTATCAAGCTTTTTGTGTGTTAAAGTGGGTGAATTAATTGCCACAGGTGGACCTGGCCCTTCGGCGATTCCAGAGCCATTTCCTGCTACCAGGGGAGGCACAGAAGATTGAGCGGCTAGTCGAGGTATTCAGCCATCGGTACGCACGCTGCAACCCGGATGTCGTGGCCAAACTGGCCAGTCCCGATACTCTCTTCGTGCTGGCCTTCTCGGTGGTGTTGCTAAACACAGACCTGCACACGCCCTCAGTGAAAGCTGACAAGCGCATGAAGCTGGAAGACTACGTCCGTAACCTGCGAGGGGTGGACGAAGGACAAGACCTCGACAGGGACATGCTTGCAGGCATCTATGAACGCATCAAAGCACACCCGTTTCGGCCTGGCTCTGATCATGTCAGCCAAGTGCTCAAAGTGCAGCAGTCCATTGTAGGAAAGCGACCGGTGGGTTGTGTTTTCTTGCTGAAATTGTTCCATCCTACCCTTCGCTGTACTGTACATCGTAATGTATATTGTGCCCCAAATACTGTACCACAGTCCTCTGTACCACGTACGGCACAATGCACTTAGAACAAAGAAACTATACTTGAGTACCTGGTTTCTGTGCATTAGCTTTAACCTGTTCAACTGTTTAAGTTGGCAAGGGATGTGCCAAACCAGGCAGTGACAAGATGAAACTCATCACTAATGCTTGGGTCATTCCTTGCCAAATCATGTTTTTTTGCCCATCATAAACATGGATGAAAAAATTTCCACGTTTTCGCAGAAGCTCGAAACTCATTCTGGTGGCTTGTTTTTGTTATCAAAACTTTTGCCGCATATTTGTGAAATTTCATGGATTAGCACTAATTGAGCTGTAGGGCATTCAACAATTCAGTGTCATGCACTTTATTGACTGCAGCATGCAGTCAATAAAGTGGTGTCTATGGAAAGCTAATGAAGTGATGCAACTGAAAAAATTAGATATTCTTCAATTATATCAACATTTATAGCATCTTTTGCACAAGTAAAAATGCTAAACATTGCTGATTTTGATATTTTTTTAAGAAACATATGAACTAAACTAGAATAAATAAAATAGCAAATAGTGGTCTGTCTAACATGCTATCAGAGAAAAATATTTCAGCTAATAAACTTTTAAAGTGTGCCTGGAAAAAATTCAAAAGTTTCCTTTCTTAGAAAAAGCTCTACTGGTAGCATTTCTTTTGAAGGGACAAGCTCGAAAATGAGCCTAACTTGGGGACGTGTGTTTAATTCAGGTTGATAGATTTCAATGGTGGGAAAATGCAAAACACCTGCGTACTCACCTGCGTACAAAAACACCTGCGTACTCAAATTTCAGTAAGTTAGAAACGCCCATGTAGTGAAAATTAATTATTAGTCCCCTGTGCACCTTGCCGCAAAGTTATTCCATAACCATAGTGTGATTCTAGGCACCACGGAGCATCATGACAGTTTTGCCGACAGAACAACCCATATAAGCTGTGGTTCTGTGTTCAAGCTACAAGAATTTGTGTGTGCTGCTACTAATGCATGCTCTGGTATGGCTTTTCTGGCAGAATTTGGCTCTTGCTCATCGTCGTCTGGTGTGCTACTGCCGTCTCTATGAGGTCTACGATGTCCACAAGAAAGAACGCCCCGGTGTGCATCAACGTGAAGTGTTCCTCTTCAATGACCTTCTGTTGGTAAAGGCTGCTTGCATGCATATTTAAGAGCTGTGCATTGGTGTCTCACTTTCTGCTAAGAAGCAGTTACACTCAAACCTCATTATAACGAAGTTGAAGGGGAGCCACAATTATTTCGTTATATCGATTATAACAGTTTGTGGCAATGCATGCTCAAATGGGCGCACACCTATAAGCATGCAAAGAAGGAAACCATCTCACGGCCCGATGTACCGCTATGCGACCACGCGTGCGACGGAAAATAAACACAGTCGAATCTCATTAATTCAAACACGCTTAATTCGAACTTCCGGTTAATTCGAACTAGCGCTGTGGTCCCGTCAAAGCTATGTGTATTCCAATGGGCGAATCTTGTAATTCGAACGCACAAGCACTTGCGACGGTTAATTCGAACATACCGCACTCTGAAAATGCTCTCAGCACCATGCCTAATCCCGCGGTGGCACCTCTCAACGCTGCGTGCGAAGAAGGGAAAAAAAGAAAAGAAAAGACTGTGGTGGATTGTTTGCTCTCTCTCAAATGCCGATCTGCGACGTGCCTGTACCATGCTTCTCCCTTTTTTGTCTCTGCACGTAGAGACCCTTGATGTGCATAGAGAGAGAAAGGGGAAAAAGAAAGAAAGCTGTCACGAAGAGTTCTCCTTTCTCGATGCAGAGGGTAGCAGCGGAGACGCAGTCATTGCCATCGTCTTTAGAGAATGTTGGCGCTAGACGTAGAAACGCCCTACTATGCATTGCAGACTACGTGCAAAATCGATTGACTCGCTGCAAGGCAAACATGTGCAGATGCGCATCACCGATTACTTCAATTAATGACGGATGTCTTCTGATTTGTGAATAAATGTAAGTCTTTTGAACCTTTCCCATCGTGTGTTCTCATAAGTGAGAGGGAAATCGCTTTTGGGTCAAGTGACCCGCTGAGCGCTTCCTCAATCCTCTCCGCTGGCTCTGTGAGGAGGAGGGCTCTCTCGGCCGTTCGTGGTGTGGCTGTAAGGTCGGCGTGGTAGTTTTGAAAGAGCCACGCCGAACGAGGGTCAAACTCTGCAGAAAACGATATACGTACTATACTTAACACGCTACGGACGTGTTTTTTTTTTTTTTTTTTTCAATAGACTATTTGATAGACTAATTTAGTTTGTCATATCCATTTACCGGTCAATTTTACTTCATTACAACGAGGTTTAAAATGCATGGTTCTCAATGGAGCTTTCAAGGGGAATTTCATTTACTCCATTATGTCCATTATTTCGTTATATCCCATTACGTTATAACGAGGTTTGAGTGTATAGCTCTGCAGTGCTGGTGTATAGGGATGCAATCGTGGAACGATCCTATTCCTTTTTCCTATGCTTTAGCAGCAACTGGTAAGTTGCTGCTAAAGTGGCACTGACGGTTAATTCGTATGTCGCTTAGTGTGTACCGAAGCGTTGTTCCCAGCCAACTACATATTAACGAGGTTTGGCTGTATTGATATGAACTACAAAAGAATAGTATGCAACAAATATAACCAGAAGCTAGCCAGTCGTTTACTAAAAAATAGTGGGACATTTATGCAGTGATGGAAGTGTTGCTCCAGTTGTTCCGAATTGCTCTGAAAGAAAATTGCTATTCTATGCTGCTCTAAACGGTAATTTTTGTTAGTAATTGCTCTAAACCAGCTCCGAAATGACACTAAAAGAATGAGAATGACCAACTAACTTTTACTGTGTGACAGACTCATAAGTCCTAAAGAAACTGCAAGGAATTTGTGTAGTATCATCTCAGCGTGCCACTAGTGTGCAGCATTATCGGCTCTAATCTCATTTGTATGTCAATATTGGCATAATAAACATATAGCTCATGTGGCTTTTCTCAGCTAGATATGCAGGCTGCTGTGGTGAAGTGTGAAAATCAGCAGGATTGCTTTTATCTCATACCGATTATCTACTGCTTATTCGGCAATAGTTATATGGGACTGTGCGTACTTCTAAAATTTAGCACTAGGCTTTTTGAGACTGATGTGATTTTTGCGACAAATACTAATATTTTAAATTGTAGATCATTTCACAGAACATTTTTGACAACCTGCCATTGTTTGCTACGTTACATTTATATTGATTGTTGTCTGTCAAGTATGTTTCATAAGAGATATCAATATTTACGAGATGCTTTGACAATGCTCTGAACTCCAAGTAATGTAAGGCAAATATAATAGCTGCTCTAAACTAGCATTTTTTTTTTCATTCTGAAAAAACTTATGGCTGCTCCAAAGCATTACCTTTCCTGCTCTAAAGCATGTTCCAAAAAGTAGGAAAGCATTTCTATCAATCACTGCATATGTCTCACTGATTCACGAGGGGGTTTTTTTTGTTTTTGTTTTTTCAAAAATTGGGAAGTCACTGTTCAACTGTCTAATGAGGACACAATCTCACGATTGGATAAACGGGTATTTTTAAATGAAACGGCTAAAGTAAGTGGCACTGAGCATCACTTCTCAGAAGTTGTGTGGACCTCATTTCAGGAGAACGTCACCAGATGCAGTTCCGCCTCTTGAGAGCCTTCATAGTGCTGTGGTCTGTTCCTGTAAAGCTCGCTTCACTGCATGTACCGTACCAGACATTTTTTTTTTCCGTTTATTTGGCTATCCTTGCTTTTGCTGTCGAAATTGTAGAGTACAGATGTTGTCCCTGAACATGTGCCTGCATTTCACTTTTCAACGGGTAAATGACATGAAGAAAAAATTACACCATCTCGCACTAAATGGAACCATGTGTGGATGCAAAGCAGCAGGTGCTAACGCTTACACTGACAGTGGTGTTGACGCTGGCGCTAATCGCGACGTTTCCCAGGAGAGAAACCTGGAGAGGCGGAGAGCATGCAGTGATCCGTGTTTCCTACTGGAACGTGTCAATCGCTACTAATGGGCAATGAGAAACTGAAGACTCCGGTTGTACACAGAAACCATAATCCGCTTTTAGTTAACACGTCAGCTGCGAATTTTTATTTTTCGACAAAGCACAGGATAAATCTCCCACCTCCACTTCCTTAGTGGTCAAAATCCAGTGCCTATATGTCGGGGTGGCTGGTGAACAGTTGTTCAGAGCAAGCATTTGGTTTTTTCAATCAAGAAACTTGCTAGTTGGCGTTGCGAGGCGAGAGAGGGAGAGTGTAGGAATGGAGGGGGAGGATGCCTTAAGGAGAGAAAGGGGGAGGGAACACACATTTGCAGTAAGAGTAGTCACGCCGCAGACCGAATCGAGCTCGACCATAAGACGTTTCACATCTAAAAAATATTTCTGCGCATCAATATCTGCAATAGTGCTGAGAGATGAGCAGGACAATTCATAGGGGATTGTTTCAGTGCATTTATTAGTCAAGTTATTACGCAAATTTATAACAAGGCGTGATGAGTGGAAGCTAATATGATCTCTCAGGAAATCCAGAAAAAGAGAAAATTATCCGGCATTCTGATTGGTAGGTTCTATCTACACCAAAAAGAGGAAAATTCAGAAGCTATCATAAAAAAATTCACCAAAATTTAAAGCCATTGCAGCACTACATCTCCCCTTTGGAAGCATCGTAAGAGAATTTTCCTCGATATTACGAAGACTTATGTAAGATGTGAGTGACTTAATGTTGTGCAAATTACAACAGTTGATGGGGGAGAAATTTTTTTCTGCGATCGGAAAAGTGGGATTTATGTGTCCGACTGTCACACAGAGCGTTCAAACCATGGAGGTGCCTTGTGATGAAACTATGAAGAATTTTGTATAGTCCTTGCAAAATGGTGACCGAAACTTCTGATATGTGATGTTGCCAAACAGTGTAGTGAGTGATCAAAGTCCATACAATTTGAATTGTTTCCTTACCTCCGCATAATTTTAGTGTGGTCTTTTCGTGGTGCCTGACAGGTCAAAGTGTTTTGTTCATTGGACTTGATAAAGAGCAGTGGTTCAATTGAATGAACATATAATTAAAGGCACTTGACACGAACCTGGAGCTTATACTAAAGTGTGTCAGCTACAGGTGATTTTGGAAGGCAATGCAAGTGCTGGTTTTGAAAACTTTAAGCTTTGCTGTCACTTGAAGCTTATCAAGTTCTCTGCTTTGGAGCTTTCGCTATATGTGAAGATTTTAAAAACTACTCTGATATTATGCCAAAAATGATAGGTAGGGAAGTGTGCATGCGTCTGTTTTCTGTGCACTCCCAGTGGCCAATGTCGGCAAACTTGGGACGGGCCAGTGCGAGCACCACAGTGGCCTCTGGTCAGTGGACAGTGCCTGTAGCATGGTAAAAGAGTAAAATAACAACCAGGCTTCATACTGTGAGAAATTTGTAACAAGGTGTCACACTATCCAAATTGCATATCGAGTGGGTTGATAAATGCTTCCAATGCATTACAAATAGCTCAGCCATAATTCGTCATCAGCTACCGCATCAACCGAATGCACATAACAAACATGTGGTGGGTACCTTGCCTCTCTGCAAAATGACAAATAATGGTGTAATGGGTGTTTACCAACTTGAACAAAAATTATGATTTGTTAGTACCTTGGTAGTTAGCAGTCCCAGGAGTCTTTACTACAGTTTCCAGATATGCCACTCTTCCAGCTTTCATTTACTGTGCTGCACTTATTCCACGGGCCTGGCGTTTCCCTGTGCTTGTCACCATGAACGCATAGTGTGAAGCAAACATTGGTTTTAGCACAACTTGCTCTGAAAATTGACTCTTCCAGGCCTTAGTGGAGCATGGTTGTGCACTTTTGTAGCCCTTAATGCTGCACTTCTGTTCCCATTAAAACATCATCTCTGCATTTTTTCTGTCAGCCATAGCAAGTCCTAAAACTCCGCACTTTCCATACTTGCGAACGTGTGTGAATGGAAGTTGCTGCTGTTATGGCATTGGTATCAGTAAACAGAGTACCTCTAATGATTACTCAAAAATAGAGTGGCTATGATAAACTTCATGATTTTTGGTGGTCTGGTTCAAGGTTCTCGGTTTAGTCCCTGTCGACTACCTGTGTGTAGCATGAACTGTGTGTGCAAAATGTGATGGTCTCTGCCCAGGTGACTAAGATATTCAGCAAGAAGAAAAACAGTGTCCAGTATGCCTTCCGACAGTCACTGCCCCTGTGTGGCATGAACGTGGCCCTTTTCGAGGCACCCTGTGAGTACAACCTTCAGCGTGGCCTTGCGCAGTTGGCACCTCCTCCCATTTCACCTGTTGTGCATGTGTCGTGGACTGCAAGTGGCAAGGCGTTGCTCCAAGACACGTAGTAGTAGTAAGGCTTCAGTGTTTTGGTTAGCTGTGCTTTAACCCCTTTGCCTGCAGATTACCCACACGGGATCAGCCTGACTCAGCGAGTGGACGACAGGGCACTGATGACCCTGAATGCTCGCAATGAGCACGACCGGTGCAAATTTGTTGACGACCTGAGGGAGTCCATTCTTGAGGCAAGCAGCCTTCTGTTCACAGCGATTTTGCAGAGCTGGTTGGCCGCCTGCTCTTGTGCTTAAGCGTCCTACGCGCACGTTCCCGTTACCCAAAGGTGCCACAGCAAAACTTCCAGTTGCTGTCATTTGAGGGAGTGTTTTTACCACTGCTAAATTTTGGATGAAAGGGAAAGGTTCTGCCTGGAGTTGTGTAGATATCATTATTTTGCCGGTGTTCGTGGTAGGACACCCTCTCTGGTGGGCCAGGAACGTACATTCGCCGCTTCATGGTTCTCACTATTTAGCCTAAGTCATCACTGCCAGAACCACAGTCAACAGCCACAGCTTTAGCAGTGATTTCTTACGTCACTTCCCCTTAAGGGACGGCAACTAGAAGTTCTACAGCTGCACTGTTTACAGTACGGAAATGTGTCAAGGGCAGACTGTGCCCCTTCCCCTTCTCATATCCATGAAAGAAATGCCTAGTTTCATCATATATGCCTGGCCTCGTGCTCTATATTTTGTTTTAATGCTAAGGAAGTGTAACTTGACTTATTGCTTTGATAAGGTGCAAGTGACAAGTGAAGGTATTGTGGTGTATATGATAACCATTGTTTTGTACAGATGGATGAGATGGAGAGCCTGCGCATTGAGGGAGAACTCGAGAAGCAGCAGGCATTGCGCAGTCCTTGGGACCAGCGAGACTCGGGTCTGGCCGACATGGAAGCAACGGGGGAGGGCAACGGCGGAGACGGCAGCTTACTGGCCCAGAGCCCCTGCCTCAAGCGGTCGGCCCTCTCCAACTCGCTGCTCGACCTGCACGACCAGCGTGAGTGTTTTCACTACTGAGGGCACTCTCCAACACGAAGCACGCTCATCAACAGCTATACCGTATTTAATCGCGTAATCCTCGCACTCGCATAATTCTCGCACCCCCCACATCGCCCAAGAAAAAATACATTTTTTTTTTCTTCTAGTAATTATCGCACCCCCAAAAACTGCCGCAATAATGTCGTCTGCGCGTTCCCGCCATCCATGATGATAGCGCACACCATCTGGCGCCATCTCTTAAGCATCAAGCGCTCTATTGCACGGAGATTCAATCCAATCCAAGCCGAAGTGGCCAGTGCACGTTGCGGCATGTTTTGTATGTTGTGTCGGTAATCTTGGCACGTTAGGGGGCGATACTGAAGCCACACGGCTGTTTCAAGTTGCGAGTGATAGATTATGCGCTAAACAACGGCAACAGGGTCGCCGGTAGGCCCTTCGGAGCCTACGAGTTTTGTGTTCGCTACTGGTGACGGCAGCTGAAAGCCACCAAGACGCGTTGGGCCTGCCGTGTGCCTAAAACTGGGATTGATGCTAAACTTTATTTCTTCAGAAGAAAACTGCAGACGATTCTATTAAATAGCTCACGTCCTACGCTTACCTTTTGAGGGCCCCTGTTGAGCGCCGACCGCTACTGCTACGCCCGCAACGCCCACAAGCTTCGCGTATGGTATTCTAATTCTCGACTATTTGCTTCCACTTTTTGTGTCTCAAATAAATCTTGCCCTGTGTTGAACCTCTGCTTTTATTGTTGAGGTATGTTGTAATTAGTACTTCTCAAAGCTTGCTGTAAGTTGCTGGTGTGAGAATCCTGATTTGCGGCCACTTCGTTTTCTTTTTCGCTCTCTGCGTTTTCGTAGAAAGGTTTCCCCGCGTAATTCTCGCACCCCCAACTTTGCATCGATTTTCTGGCAAAAAAAGTGCAAGGATTATGCGAGTAACCACGGTACGTCTGCAGCCATGGTAAAACAAAATAGTGCATGGAGCGAGCACACATTGTGCATCTGGTGCATGTTGTTATTTTTTTTACCATAAAAAAAAACTTTAATGGACCACTTGACTGTTAATGCAGGAGCATCTCTAAACATCAGTAACTTTGTCAGCCACGACCATGAAAAGTTATTCAGTTATTTAGTTAGATATTCATGCCACTGAATGAGCTATGCCACTGTTTTTCTTTCTTTTTTGACCACACATTCTATTTACATTCTATTTACATTTAGCAATTTTGCAACAACTCGTGGGCACTGTAGAATAAGGCTTTAAAATGGGTATTTCATAAGGCGTGTAGTTGCAGGGCCGTAAGGAATTTAGATCTGCTGTGCTGTCCTGCTTTCCCTGGTTTCAGGCACTAAACGCACTCTCTGCAAGCCTGTACAAGTGTTGTTTAAATTTTGCAGAAACAGCGGCACGGCCAGTTCGTCGAGGCAGCGCGGGTTCTCTGGACAGTGGAATGGTGAGCTGGCAGCAGACAGAGCGGCTGGCAACGGGCCCCGCCTCCAGTCCGTCTCCTTCCAGTCCTCGGCGACCAGTTCGGTGAGCCAGGAGTCGTCGCCCCACACGGTCCAGTATCCGGATGGCGCAGCAGCAGCAGTAGCCACCAGCGTCGGCGACGGGACCCGGCACGGCTTCCTGGGAAACCTGTTTGGCAAGCGGGGTCGCCACACCGCAGCGGTGACCTCCACACCCCAAGCAGCAGCTGCGGCGACCTCGGAAGTGCCCGCAAGAACGGAACCACCAGGATAGGCGGCGGGTTACCCATCTTGCCCGCCTTATCTCCCAGTGTACATACGCGATAGGCCATTTTATTTTGCAAAGTGACTCTCTATCTGCCTCTCCTTTATGTACAGCAGAAGATTCGCGTTTTAATATATAGTACATATTACAGACCTCTCCCGCTTCTCCTTTGCCCCCTTTTGTAAGAGAACTTCCCTGCTCTTAAAGCATTCCCCCTCCCAAATTGTAATAAAGGCCTCACTCCTTTTGCTCACTCAGCTCAAGTGTGGTGCAGTGAGCCTGCTCTGGGTGTTGCTAGGAAAACATTGTGGCCACAGTCGAGACCTTTCCATGAAAAGAGAGGGAGCAGTGGCCTTGCGCAAAGTAGTTTTCTTCCACCACTACGGTTAGTCTATTGGTGCCCCCCTGTTGTGCCTGTTTGGAGGAATGTGAGGGCATGCCGGTGCTTTTACTGCATGTCAGCATGTGTACATAAAAGGAGGGGGAAAAAGTGCACTATGCAGACAAATGCATTTCTCTTTTGTGGTAATTCAAAGCTGCACTTTTTTTAGCACATAAGCAGTCGAACAAATTGTGTGTACTGACGAGATCATGTTGCGTGCTGCAAGAAAGTGGCACACTTGCAAATTTTAGTGGCACAAATCTGGCACCCTTTATTCCTACTGCTTACTGAGTTTTTACCGGTGTGAATGCAGCAGCTACAAAATTGAACATGTGAACTTGTATAGAGATTGCGGGTGAATGCACTTTGTGCACTTTGCCCCTTGTACGTCTAGATATCTCAGTCATGTGATGCTGGAAACTGGCCTTCTTGGCATATCACAAAATACTTTTATGTGCGCTGCTACATGCAGGAAGTCAATGTCTAGTGAGTGTTCAGAATATCATAAATGTGCGAGTATTGACATTTCATCCCACCATACGCTACAGAGACTGTGTGTATATTGTGTAACGGTATAGTATATGGAGTGTGCAGGATATTGCTTCCAGTCAGTGCATGCAAACGGTCCATTTCGGGCTAAATGTTTGTAAGTGTTTCGCATCTTAATATGTGTGCACATAAAGAAGCTCACCAACGCATATTTTGATGTAGTGATTGTACTTTTGCCTGATGTGCAGCCATTGAAGGTGCACATGTTCAATATGGGGAGTGTAGCGTATTGAATTACAGTTGAATCTTGATAATTCAAACTCGAAGAGGCCCGAAAATTTGTTCGAGTTAATGAAAGCTAAATAAACGGAGGGCTCTCCATGCAGTGGCGCATGTGCATTGAGCTAACACACTAGGGGGAAGTTTCAGAAGACTTACATTTATTCACAAATCGCAGGACATCCGTTATTAATTGAAGTAATCGGTGATGCGCGTCTGCACACGTTTTCCTTGCAGCAAGTCAATCAATTTCGCACGCAGCTTGCAAAGCATTTCTACTTCGGCTTCAGCATTCTGGCAAAAGAAGTTGTGCGCGGAAATGCCCAGCGCCGACACTTTCTAAATACGATGACAACGACGACTGCATAGCCGCAGCATGGCCAGCACATGACTGGAAAGGAGGAGCGTCTACACGCAGAGAGAAGCAGATCGGCATTTGAGAAAAAACCAACACTCCATCCACGGCATTTTTTTTTTTTTTTCTCTCTTTTCGCGGTCATCGTTGAAAGAAAGGTTACGTGGCAGGGACGGGAAAGGGGAAGCGTGGCACTGATGCGTGAGAGACCCGACCCCCCCCCCACCACCACCACCAAGGCGCAGAGCCGTGCTCCTGCAAGGGGCAAGGGCTGCAGGAGATAGTGCCTTTTTCTTTTTCTTCGACCACACATTCATTCAACCTAGCGACGGCTTTTTTTTCTTTCTTTTTTCCCTCTCTCTCTCTTCGCGCATAGCATTGGAAAGAGAAGGATCTTTACGTGGCAGGGACGGAAAAGAGAAAAGCATGACACGAGCGCGTCGCAGATCGGCATTTGAGAGAGAGCAAACATTCTACCACAGCCTTTTCTTTCCTTTTCATTTCCTTCGTGCGTAGCGTTGAGCTGTCACAAGTGTCCGCGCGGGATTGGGCAGGGTTCTGAGAGTATTTACGGAGCGTGGTATGTTTGAATTAACCGTTGCAAGTGCTTGCGCGTTCGAATTACCGGGCAATTTCGCCCCATTGGAGTACACATAGCTATGACGGGACCTCGTCGTGAGTTCAAATTAACCAGAAGTTTGAATTAAGCATGTGCGAATTAACGAGATTTGACTGTATTTATTAGTGTGACCCTCGTACATTCTAAAACTTGGTTCACTTGACGATTCGCAACAGCACGTTCTTGCAGAGTGCTGAACCATGGCACTGTGGTACGCAGCGCAATGGTTCATCTGAACCCCGTGAAAATTGCATAAATTCAGAATGATCAAGACGCCATATTCTAATGAAAGTAGTGTACCAGCCGTGTATTATATTAGACAGAAGGGTCACATTTGTTTAGAAAATTGAAAGGTACTAAACCTAAAGGGAAAGCCCATATGAATGTACTCGTAATTTGTATTGTAAAGGAAGCACTGTGCCAGCAACATGCAAACTTGCAGGATTTCTTTTTAACAAAGGACTGCCAATATGGAGTTTATTCACTAGAACCGGTGAGATCCTTTTGTCTAGCTTACCTTGCCAGTCAAGGAGGAGAGGGGTTAACCGGGTCAATTGTTGGCAATACAGTCAAAGTCTCGTTCTGATATGTAATACAGAAAGTGAGATGGAGCACTCTTTTTAACTAGTCAATTTGCAAGGAGGTGATAGGTCCGAAACGGTGATAGATGAGCACTCTAAAATTGGCGGAAAGTGATAGGACATGTGAGTAGCACTGTTCACTAACTGTGGGTGCCGGATTATAGCAAAATGAGTCAACGGCCTCGTGTATTGTGTTGGAAGGTCACAGAACTCTGCTCGCATACTAAAGCACTCAAACGTGCCACCACACAATGAGCGATGCCACGACTTCTCGCAGGTCAGTGTGAACTTTTTACGACATGCGTAATATGCGCAGATTAAACTTCAAATGCCATTACACCGTAACGACTGCAATTTCAAGCGCGAAGTATGATGTAGTGCACACGTGCCTCAAAGGAGTGCGGCCACTTGTGTGGGTGTGGTCTTGGCGAGCAACAGGCCCGCGTTCACCATCGCCTTGCGTGACTAAAGCCGCTGCACATGCACATTCGAACAGCCAAGGCGCCAAGCACACCGTGGCTAGTACACAGCAATGCTCTCGAACAAGTCGCAACACCTTATTGCTTCCGGCAACACCAACAAACACAATATAGCGCCTGGTGAAAAAGGCCGCGGGAAAGCAAACGGGGGTTATCCACACCACAGGCCAAAAGTACACCACCAAGAGTGCCGCAGGCACGTCTGCTTGGGCAGAAGGGTTCACGGTGACACGCTGCCGAGGGAAACAGGCCCTCGGGACTATGCTGTGTGCTCTCTCACGATTAGGGACAGCAGGGCCCGATTGCTTGAGTGAGGGCAGACTTCGCTCGCGTCGGCTTTGATAGGTAATGGTCGACGTAGTGCGACCATGCGCGCACACGTCATACCGCTCTTCGGCCTAGCGTTCGGAAGGGGCAACGAAAGGCAAGCGGTCGCCACGGGCACAAGGCACCGTTGACGAGTTCAAGCGAGGGAAAGAAAAGGCTTGTGCACCCTTCGTTCACCAGAGATGTTTCTAAGCGACTCCTGTAGCGTGCGTGCGAGACGTCCCAAAATACTTGAGGACAGCACCACAGTCCATATTCGAGTGAGAGGGTTTAATGTCACTCCCCCTTCCCCAGCACGAACAAACCGCGAAGGAGGGGAGGCATGTTGGGACATGATAATGGCATAAATAAGGGGAAAAGCCCACGCAATTTCCACCATGGTGACACTAAATAATGGACTATATACAGCGAATGCCTCTGTGGCACAATATCGGGCTTCTCATAAAATGGTGTAGCATGCCAGCTTTCTTACGATTTCGTGGCATTTTATAATTCCAATTCCTACTTAAATTGTGAAACATGATAAATTCTATCACTGAAAATCATGGTTTATTTGTTTCACAAATATGCCACCACATGTTCTTGACAATTGTTAACTCCTTTTTAATCCGGAATAATGGCACTGGTTGGTTGAAATTTTGCTGCCATGAAAAACTATCCAGATGGTGAATAATTCAGGGTGTTTTTTATGCCAGCTCGGGCCACTGTGTATTTTTCTCTTACCAAGTGTGCAGTGTCCATAATCGCAATAAAACACCCATCTGGTTTTGTAATCTGATAGTGTACTAATGTGCACAGTTAAGGTTTCTGCACATAAGTGATACATTACTTTGCTGCAAAGCATGATGAGGGATCTACTTATGAATGTAATCTACAGCTTGCACACCACTTCACTTCTGGTACTAAGTATGGATGGAAATGTCCATGTGGGAGTCGTACTCAATTGCGGTGCTCAAAGCTCTCAGCGGCAAGTATGGCAACTATAGTCTTGGATTGTATGTCAAGAGAGTCTGATAAAGACCACATGGTGCTACAGTAATGGACCAACATTGCAAGTTAGCTCCTTGCATTACAAGTAGTAAATAACATAAGGGGAGATGTAGGTTTCGAAACGTTTTAGGATGTAGGCCTCTAAGCATAATAGTTTGGTGAATAGGATAAAATTTAATATTCTCAATTAGTTTTTTCTGCAGACTCCAAAATCTCGAACTAGATTTTTAATAGCTGCATTAGAACAAAATATGTGCAATTTCTACAGCATATTCTAGCATGTATAAAACTATTATGGGAATTCTCGGCACTTTTTCTTTGTCAAACACAAAAAGCTATGCAACAAAATTGCCAAAAGCTGGTGTAGCCGGTGATGCTATTTGTTTTCTTGTAATGTTTACCAAATTGTAATTCTCGATAATTGTAAAGCAAATAAATAAAAAAAAATTTGCTCATATTTGTATCTGCTTATTTTGCTTCCAAATTTCAATGAAAACAATCAAATTAGCATCATTGGCTAGACCCACTCTCTGGCAGTCTTGCCAGATGTTTTTATATTTGACAAAGCAAAATTGTGAATAAGGCCTATAATAATAAGTATGCTCTCATAAATTGTATACCTTTTATTCTAATGCAGATAATGAAAATCTTCCTGGGACTTTTAAATACTAACAAACTGAATAAATGTAGGAAATTTCATTCGGTTAACCCAACTATTGAAGAAATCGATTTCTCAAAAATGTTAAGTTTGGATTCTGCATTTTATGTAACATCAGTTACCATTAAAGTTCCATTTTCTCAGTTTTCTCTATTTCTTTTTCTATATATTATTATTATTATTATTAATTATATGCTTAGTTTTCTGACAAGCTTATTCCAGCTTTGGCACACTGTTCTGAGTACTTTTGTTTCGCTGAAGGACTGAATGTTTATAAATAGAGTGCAAAAGGGAATCAACTCTTACTTAAATTTTTACAAAAACAGGTGAGAAAAAATTTTTTTGGCCGCGTGAACTTCCAAGCTTAACTTCTCTTCTTGGAAAGTTATAACCATAAAATTATGCTTGTTATACTCCTTGGTATATGTGGCATTCAGCAACATTTATTTCAGTAGGATCTGTACAGCCAGTCTAATGAATGTGTGATTAAGTGATAGTTTCATTAATAAATTGTTATAAAACTAATTTTGCTGCCTACGTCAAAAAAGTGCTGTCGAATTCATGCCGAGAAAACTGTTGGAAAGCTCTGTATGTATGTGAGGGTAGACCAAGACATGTTTTCAGCGTCATTATTTGCGATAGTGCATACAACACCAGGACAGCTTAATCTCATTTCAAGCACCATAATCGTTATTTCATTTTATTTCTTTATTCAGTTTTTCTCTGGTCACATGACATAGGACAGACGTGCAGATGGCATAGACTCCACTTGGAACACCTTTGCTGTTGAAACAGTTTATATTCGTTATCAACACGTGAAAAATGCATAATTGCTTAAGTTTTCATTATTGTGGTGAACCGCAGCAGAACACTGAGACAAAGATTGGAAGAAGCACACACCAGGTGCTGTGTCCTGGATCCTTCCGATCTTCCTCTACTCGGTGTTGCGCTGTAGTTCACCATGCATCACCAACTTGCCCAACTTTTCACGTTACCGAGTTTTCATCATCTTCCGTCTAAAAAAAACCAGCACAGCTTGCATTAGGTTGCGCCAGGTTGGGTCACAACAGAGCTTGTGGGCAGCTAGCTCGTCATGGCCTGGCTAGTCTTTTCCTTTTCACCTTTCTTTCCCACCCCTCGCTATACTACTCAGCTATACATAATTATTAGGTGTTGCCCGTTGTAGACTTGTATGCGTTACAGAAAACAAGTTACCATCTGCAATTACTTTCTTTAAAAGGGGATTGATTGCAGTTCTCTATTTCAGTGCCACAAAAGTAACTGGGCAATTGTAGAAATGTAATCGAGTACTTTTGGGTTACTTGCCTTTGGAAGTTTGTAGACCTAACGGAAGACAAGTTTACTTAAACTACAACGAACTATTGCGTCTTACATGGTAGAGAAAAAGCTTGGAGGCTTCTGTGTTCTGTTGTTGCATGTTAACTTTCAGCGGCAGTTATTTTTTAAAGTTGTCAATGCATATTCTTTTATATTTTTTTCTTTAAGAGGGGAGCTACTACACGTGGCACTCTCGATGCATGTGCTGGAAGGAAGGGTGGTAACATATAAAGTAGAAACAACTTGCCCGTTGCGCTCCAGCTCGTGGTTGTGAAGTGCTTTGGGGCTAGTGTTCATGTCCTATATGAAAAGTCACGCTATTTGCTGCTGGTGCTCGACTAAGGCATTGCAGGTAAAGCAAAAAAGAAGACAAAACTGTGGGGATCCTCTGTCTTGCAGGACGATCGGTACATAATGAGCGTTCCCAATCTTGGAGGTCGAGAACTGTCATTAAAGACTGGCTGCGATTTGATTTTGTAACAAAAACGAAAGTAATTGCCTGTAATCAATTACAAAAATATCTTAGTTACTGAATTACTGGTAACATTAGTTTTGAAACAGTAATTATTTGCAAAATGAACTAGTCAGCATTTACAAAATTGAGAAAATGTAGCTGAGTACAAGTAATCAATTGCTTGTAATGCTTTGCTGCTTTTTTTTTTTACCATCTGTACAAAGTGCTTGGGTGATGATTGAGTGCATGCCTGTTAATGATGACTGTAGTTTTGTATCTACACCCCACCGCTAATTTCGAGCTTAACGGCTCCGCCCTAGAATCGCATCCAACCTTCAACAGCATAGAAGGAAGGAAGGGAGGAAAATGACTATTTTGGTCCTGCGGAACGCGACTGTGTCACGCACCCGGCTCAGTCCCACGTAGGGACCGGCAAGCCGATCCTGCCAGCAACCTTGCGGGCCCGATGGACAGCCGGTTTGAATAAAAACTTTCTTTGCCTGCTTCAACATAGATGACTGATTGCCACACATCAGGAGCTGTAGACGGCAGTGTACATGTCATCTTCTTTGATGTATTCGCACAAAAAGCGCGGGATTCGGTAAGACTACCCTGTATTAACAGCCAGTTTCACGGTCGCCCCGCCGCGGTGGCCTAGTGGCTAAGGTTCTCGGCTGCTGACCCGCAGGTCGCGGGATCAAATCCCGGTTGCTGCGGCTGCATTTTCGATAGAGGCGAAAATGATGTAGGCCCGTTTGCTCAGATATGGGTGCGCGTTAAAGAACCCCAAGTGGTCGAAAATTCCCTGAACTACGGCGTCTCTCGTAATCATATGGTTGTTTTGGGACGTTGAACCCCGCATATCAATCAATCGGTTTCACGGTCAATTACTCGTAGTGGGTTGGAACAAAACAAATGCTTGAGCAAACAACCAACGTATTCTCTAAAGTGGAGGCTGAAGCCGTGGAAACTTTCGATGTGTATAAAAGCTACTATCATCATGAAGGGATATGTGGCACAGAAATTTTACCGATCCCGTTATTCACTGCTGGTTCACTAACAATGAGGAAGGTGACAAGACAGATGCTAAACTTTATTAGATCTTGAGGAGTTACTGACAGGACCTTTGGCAAATTTCAATTGAGCCGAGAAAAAGCTTTAGTAAACTGTCGTCGTTAAAGGGACACTAAAGAGCAAAACGCTTTTTCGCGTATTAGTAAAGCACAATTTCAGTATCCCGAAAACACTACTCTACCGTGGCACGACACTTGGTAAGCGAAAAAACTTGCTCACGGACGGACGGAAAAACTTTATTTCGTCAGAAAGCAACTGAGGATGATTCCGTGTTAGATGGCCATCAACCCAAGGTTGCTCAAAGAAACTGCTGGTGGAGACGCTACCTTGAGACGACTCCACCAAGCACTGTGACGTCATCAATTTTTGAAGTACTGGATTCTAAGTGGCCTCTCATGGGTGAAAGTGAAGTATATTGTAATCTGTGGGTGCCATAAACTAAGCATACGAAGTCGTGAAAAGTTTCGAGATTATGTCTTGAAAATGCGAAAAATACCTTGTGGAATTTCTCGCATACCGTGCAGAGATTATGGCGCGAAATTTTAATGTGAAACTTTACCCTTGATTTTCTTCGCTAAGTTCTCAGAGTGCAGTTTATCAATCGAGAACAACTCATTATTTCCCATTAGTGTCTCTTTAACCCAGTGAACACTGCGGGCGTATACATCTCTGCTTCGCTGAGGCATCCGTACGAAGCGCTTCAGCAGTACGTGCGATGGAATACTGGGAAATGCGAAAGGTAATTAAAACTGCTAGAAGACCCTGAAGTGATGGAATTCATATGCAAACAATGAAGAAACTCAGTTACACGGTTGTTTTGGGACATTAAACTCCGCAATTACTACATACGCAAATGCGCCCATAGATCTACGAGGGGTGTGAACGCTTGGTTCCAGCAAGAGTTGGTCTGCACAGTACATTAGTTTGGTGACTGTGACTCAACTCAAACCGCACTGCACTGAGAAGCAACTTAGAAACAGCCTAGCATCACCTAGCTCAAGCGTAGCAACCACCTAGACGTGACCAAATTAGGCTTCAGAATAGTCCAGCTTCGACCCTTTTAAAGGTCATTGAGGCGACAGCTGGTGATCCTCCTTCAGAGTGGAATGCCTCGTCAATTTTTATTTTTAGTTTTTTTTTGCCAGTGCAGTAGTGTTCCTTGAGATATTTATTCCCATCAAATAATCTTGCATCGCACGCAATCATAAGTGTTTAGTTTTAAGCCAGTTCCTTAAATTTTTTATCCGACTTTGTCACCAAACTGTCCACCAAGACGTGAATTGGTTGCACGATAGATTAAAGAGCACGTTTGCTGAACAAATCATTCAAATCGCGTTTTATATACCTTAGAACACGTGTTCACATCGAATTTTAAAGAATAATCGTGAAGTATGGGTAATGCAGGTACCCATACTTCTGAATCGAATCGTACAGTTATTCAATGCATATTTAAATTATTTCCGTTCGTGCAGAGTTGTCTGGATGAAACGCGACATATATGAAGGGACACAGTCAAGTCTATAATGATGATGACATCTCTGTTCCATGATATTCGTTGTTGAATGATTTCTTTACATGATATCTGTAGTATGCACTAAAAAGCGCAGCCGGCAATGGCCGCTTCAAGGAATGACAGGAGCAGTGATATATAGTATTGCCCATTTCTTATTGGCATTGATCAACACAGACTATCGCAATCGACACAGATGGCAATCAACACAGACTATCGCAATCGTCGTATGTGAGTCGGCGTGCAACGGAGTTCTAGGAGGCTTCTAGCAGCGAGCACCGCTTGGGCGGCACCATGGGCTGCCCGTCGCGGCAGCCGAAGTGCTCGGCGAACGGGGCCCAATGGCGCAGCGGCCCGTTGACGCGCTCCTGCCCGCCGAGCGGCCACGGCAGTCGGCGCTGCGCCTGCGCATCCGACCGCTGGCAGTTGTCCATCGCGTAGTACACAAAGAACAGCTGGTCCGAGGAGAGATTCTCGAGACCCTTCAGCCGCAGGTCCTTGCCCCAGATGCGCCGAGTGTCCAGCAAATCCTGCAGCAAAACCCGTCGCTTACTGCCAAATAAAATTGCACGCATCCTTTTAAAAGGATGTATGTTCAGTTAAGTGGCTGCTGGCGAAACAGAGATGTCTCTAGCCACAGGCGCCATACTGCTTACCCCATCACAAATGCATATCTAGATGCGAACGTGTCTGCCTCTCTCGACATCAAAAAAAAAAAAAAAAAAAAGAGAGAGAGAGAGAGAGAGAGAGAGAGAGAGAGAGAGAGAGAAATAATTGGTCGGTGCTCGGCGGCGAAAGCGAGTGCTCTAACCGATAGTCGAGGTTACCGAGAATATGTAAGCCAAACACGCGGCCTGGAATTTACAATTCTGAAAGCAAGCTAGAAATTGCCTCCTCTTTTCTCTACAAATGGTGCCATATTAACCCAAATGACCGCGGCCACTGTCTTGGTTTGAGCATCTTGAGCTGCGTATGTACGTATACCAGCGCATTCGCTCCCGATCGAACCGCGCAATCCGCGCTTCTTGTCCCGTTTTCGTCGCCCCTTTGAGTTAAGCAACTGTATATGCTCCCTACGTAAAGGTAGCCTATGCATTTACTTTACTTTGTGTTAGCTTTCAGTGCCCTCGAACGTTGGTACGAAGAGAAGGTGTTCAAAGCATGGACACATCATTTTAAAGCTCCTCATTCATTTTCGTGCTGTTTTGGTAAGGTTTTGGTAGAGGCCTCCGAGAGGAACAAACCTTTCGCGACTTTTCTTATAGGGGAAGCGATGCATGAGCTGGGGCATCGTGAAAAAAGCGGATTCCGTTCGTACTACTTTCAAGTTCTTTGCGGCGATCTGTTCGTGAGGCATTAAGCAATGACACCCTGCAACACTATTTTTAATGCACGCTGGCACCTCGATCTTGTACGTACCGCGAGGTTATCGTGCGCCAAGGCTAAGCCCACCGCCTGGTCAAAGAGGGCCCAGGGCTGATCCTTGGCTGGCGGAAAGCCGCTCTTGAGCGCCGGCGGCATGGTGTCCAGGTCGTTTCGAAGGCATTCGGCCACGCTGCGGAGATTCGTCTGCTCAGACTCGCGCACCGGTGAATCGAACACGCCCGGAATGTCCCTGTGTGCGCGCGCCATGAAATCCGAGGTACACATGCAGACCGTTATGTGCACACTTACAGGACATACAACGTCTTCATTTTGCCTACCGAGCGTTGATGCACGCAGTTGTGTGTACCTGAGTAGCGCAGCCAGGGCGCTGTACAAGCGCACTGCCACTCTTGCCACTTGATGAGTGCGCAGCGAGTTGTTGAGTGGAACGACGGAACCGAACAGCCCGGGCGGTAGCCGCAGGGCTCCCCCGGGCAGCCACGTCGGCAGCATGTCCAAAGCCCATCCGCCTGAACTGCACGTACGTACGCCATCCAGCGTACACATACACGCGCCGAGTCAGAAAGCGGCAGCATGCGACCGGCGACACGAGCGTGCAGCATCGCAACCGACAACGCTCAAAGGCGGTTTGCCGTCGCATGCACGTGCGTTGTTGCGTTCATAGGCGCACGCAGGAAGTGGGGCAGAGTGGGTGGTGGCCACCTTGATTGCACCAAGAGGGTCACAAAGTGCATACTCTCGACTTAATGGGAACCCTGTGCACGTCCCATGGTTACCTTCAAATGAAATCAGACTGCCTGCGTTTAGCATTAGCACTAAAAGTGCAAATTTATATGTTGCGCAATTATTGTTTTGCCATTGTTTTGCTAGGCCATTGTTTTGTTAGGCCTCGTTAGGAATGGAAGGCGATCTTGGAGACTCCGCTTGGTTTTCACAATACTAGCTCGTCGAATTAAAATATGCGAAGCTTACTTGTGTATGGTTTTTGATCTGCCATTATTGAGAATATAATTTTGGTTGTTATCAACTCTCGGCTCTGAGCGAACGAAGTAAATCGTCCTCACAGCAATGCCATACTCACTTTGAAACGGACGTCCGAAACCACCGCCATGTTTTATCCGTACATACACTGTGTACACAGTAACCACACAATAACGCTAAATCAGAGAGCATTTCGTGCTTGCGCGCTTCGATACGGCTATTCCGCTAAGCCCTCTATAATACTAAGACGAAGGGGTGAGTTTCGTAGCGTGAGACTGCGGTCGCAGCGCTGTGAAGCGAACTGATGCGCCTTCCAGCACACACACCGATCGGCGGCTGCGGCCGCCATGCGGACCTTGAGCAGCGTGCTGTTTCGTTGGCCCGTGGTGGTGGCCATAGAGGCGGCCAGCGCGAGCAAGTACGCGTTCCAGCTATTGGCGTCCGCCAGTCGCGCTGGATAAAACCGCGCCAGCGGAGTGTGTCGCACGCTGTTGGCTACCAGGTGCGCGTCGGGTCCTGGCTGCGGCAGGAGCCGAGGCAGGCTGCGCAGGAAGCGGTCCTCCAGCTGGTCGGTCCACATGCGGGCCACATGTAGCGTACCCAGGGCTCCACGCATCGCCTGCAGGTACACCAGCGGCACAGCATGGCCCACGGCGCGGCTGCACGCGCGTTGCCTGCACGTGCATTCGCCAAGTGACTCGCGGCAAAAGCATGGCGTCGTGGTGGACATGCTTTCAAGGAATGAAAGGCTGCTGATTACATGCAAGCCCATTCAGTCAGTGCTTGCTAGAGTACGGTATCATTTTCCTTGAGAAGATTAAAATCAAAAGTATGCTTCGTCCCAGAAATAGTCGTATTGTGGAGAAGCCTTCTTCAGGAAACTCTTTTTGGCGAGTTACGTGCGCTTGTAAGATAAATGGCATATTGCAATCGCAAAAAGAGCTATAATAAGCAAAAGAAAAGCCACAACGAAATGTTACGAAATGTATTAAAGAGAAAGGCTGGTGTGTGTGCGCGTGTGGAGAAAGAACGGCGTCATCGTCATATATCTCCTAAATATGTAGCGGAATCGTGTGGCCTCACATTATAAAAATAATTCACTCGGACTCTGCCAACACGATCGCCATATAAAGACATCATATAGAGAACTTGTGGGGTCTCGAAATGGGGCGCGCCGTGCTATCTCGGAGCACAAGGAGACAGCAGACGCGGTCGGGCAAACATGTGCACCATTGTTAACTTGCTTATGCAACGACCATATAGTCGGCAGAATGGGACACGTCACTCAACAACCTTATGCAGTATTTCAATACAACACTCTAGAAAACAACAAAACAAACACAAAGTTTACGGTGAATGCGGCGTCCCCGACGGTCGACTCACCACGAGGGACGCACCCACGGGAAACGACCCGCGGATCCTCTGCAAAAAAAAAACGTCCATCCCCGTACGCTGCCTAACCGTGCGCCGGCCTAGCCTCTCCGCCACTGCCGCGTGGCGGCGTTGCTGGAGCCACCGCTAACCCTAACCCGCGCGAACACCTACCTCACGCTCGGCGGATGTTAAGCCTATTCTAGTTCACCATGGTTAAGCCTAAATGCGGCTTATCCTCGAGACGCGCGGACCATGAGGCGCAAACGACCTTGGGATAGCACCCCAACAAACCATGGTACAAGAACAGTTTTATATTTCTTAATGCTCGAGCTCGGACTGAAAGACATGCACTTGTTGGCAAGGATTTCCAGCCAGCGATATTCCTGTGGAAAAAGCTATTTCTTTAGGCAGTGGTACGAGCGAAAACAGACGTCAATGAATATTTAGGGTTATGTCTCGTTTTTTCTGAAAGATAGATGCTTTCAACTTGCATTAATTCAAACAGCGGAGGTGTACGCACCTGTCGGCAATCGGAGGCCGACGAGTGAGCATGTGCGCCGTGATGAGTCTGTCTGGAGGCGTCGCCACGAACGGTGCCGCCCACAGGGCTGCTCGGAAGCCTACGTAGTGCAGCACCCGCAGCGCGTAAGAGGACACCAGCTTCGACAGCGACTTCAAGTCGACTCCCGGTAACACCAGCACAGAAGAAGGTGCGACGGCCGAGGATGAGATCGCACTGCGCACCAGTGCGGCTACGCCTGCGCTCAGATTGGACAACGGCAGGGTATCGTAAAGGAGCCCGGGCGCCGACATGGCTGCGTCCTGGATCTACGTGAATGAAAACCAAGAAAGGCAATCGTTCGCCGAAGAGCTGCTCGCGTGAATAGCCCGACAGTACTTTAGACTCTTTCTAACACTTGAAGGCAAAAGCTTGTTTCGCACTTTTTTTAATATACAAGTCATCTTGCATGGCATAACAACCAGTGTGAGATATTTAATCATAACGGCATAAACCACCTCGCCCAACACTTGTACGTATAGGTAGACTTGTACGTATTAAATCACCTTAACTTTATCAGTCCATCGATGGCATTGTCACTCACCCCCCCCCCCCCTTTCCGTTAAGAAGCCTTTCGCACCTCATGAGGTATCTTTTCAGGGTTCGGCCCTCCAAATTTGGCAGCGCGATGAACTGGTGACGTCACAACTAATGAATATATCCGACGTACGAGATAAAGTCACTAGTGACGTATGTCATGCCGGATTTTGTGACACATTATTCACCTGTCGTGCTCCGCTCAAGGGGCCATGCAACGAGACCGTATAGGCTTCTGCATTATGCAACAGAGGACCAAAGGTGGTCGGTGGTTAGATAAAAAGGCAGGAGAGCTGACGTCACGCACTAACCAGATCGGCGAATGCTGAACTCACCTTTGCGATCGAGATTAAATGGCCCCGTTCCCTTGCAACGATACGCTTAGATCAAGTAATTTGATATAAACGCTAAATTATCTAAACGCAAAGTGTACAAAGCTCACGCAAGCCCCCTATTTCGTGCGACACCGGTGATATAAAAACAGTAGCAAGTTATATCGTTACAGCGCTCGTGAGACAATACAAAGCTGGCTTCGCCGCAAAATGACTGTTATTGCGGAGAAGCCAGATGTGACGGGTGCTTACATCGGCATGGTTGCTGGCACTGTTCTTAAACATTGTTATAAACGCTCATCTTTAGACAAATAAATAAGCGCAAAAAAGTTTGAGGCCAGCAAACTGGCAGGACGCAGCGCCAAACGCGTCCTGCAAGTTTCATCGCCTCGTCGTTCGCCCATTTTCGCGCTAATTCCATGCATACGTCTCGTGTGAGGAATTCCTACAGCCCACCCCTCATCTTTCTTGCTAGCACTGCTTCTGGTAGTGCGGCTTCTTGCACACGACTGCTCGCACCTTGGAGAGGTCGGAGAGGACTTTGACGACGTCTTCAGCGACCGTGCGCGCGTCAGCCGTGGTTGACACGAAAGTGACCGTGGCGCGCACGGCGTCGGAGAGGAGCTGCTCTTGCGAGGCGTCGTCTCCTGGCATGAGCAGCAGCTGCGCGGGACCCAGGGCAACCGCTGTCCGGCTCTTAACGACAGGCACCACGGACACCAGCGCCGCCACGTTCAGTTCGCGAAGCAGGCGTCCGGCGGCCTCCCACACAGCCACGTCGCTCGTCGCGTCACTGGCCGGCCATGACTGCGCAGGGCGTACGCATCTGTTGTTGGTTTGATTTAAAGATAAGAAAGTAGAGAAAACGTTTGGGCGGAAACCCTCCCGTCTCGACCCGCCGCGCAGGATACGTGGTGCTGTCCGCCTTCGTGGAACAGTGGCTACGGTGCTCGACTGCTGCCCCAAAGGTCGTGGGCTCGAGTACTGTGCGATGTCAGTGCACGTCAAAGAATACCAGATGCTCAATATTTCCGGAGCTCTCCACTACTGCGTCTCTCGTCATCATATCGTGGTCTTGGGACATAAAGCCCCATTATTATTATTGGATACGTGGTTCTGGCGTTGCGCTATTGAATCGGCTCAATGTTCCTCAATAGCGCAACGGACAAGATATGCGTGGTGCGTGCACTACGGCGACGTTACCGCTGCCAGCGCTATCGCTCAGGGCGTGTCTGCTGTAAATATATATATATATATATATATATATATATATATATATATATATATATATATATATATATATATATATATATATATATATATATATATATATATATATATATATATATATATATATATACACTATTCGCTATTTAACTATAAGACATAAGGGTATGCCGTCATCATGGGCTGTATTAATTGACTTTTCTTGTTTTTGTATATGGATCGAAATGGAAATGAATAAGGTCACGAAACATTGTATGCACCAATTGAAAAGTTTTCATGTGTATGTGCCAACCACAACTCCGCTCGTTTTATTGTTTTAGAAGCAGAACACAAAGGTGACCAGCCCAACATGGTGGCACTGAAACCCCTTCGTAAAGTAGTGTATAGAATGTACAGTGACGAATGCATACACTGGATACACTCGATCGATACTCCTGCCGCTGCTTTTGCCCCGTCGTTGTACGCACATGTGACCACTGCAGCACTTACCGGCTGCACGTAGGCGGCCACGAAGTCGGCCAGGTCCCGCGCCGAGCCGGTGCCGCAGGCTTGCAGCAGTTCGCGCGCTGGGGCAACGTCGCTGTGCGTAGCGTCGCGCACGTACGCGACCAGCGCGTCGTCCAGCTCGTCGGTGAGTCGCGTGTCCGTAGACGAGGCGGTGCCTCGCTTCGGCAGCGGCGGCGTTTCGTCCAACCGCTGGCAGGCGTAGTCGTAGAAGTTGCGGCACGGCTCGCCTTCCAAGAGCGTCGACAGTCGGCGCGCCTCGCGCTGGCACAGCGCCGAGTCGCACACCAGCCAGTCGCTCGATGGAGACGCCGTGGGGTACGGTGGACCTGCCGAAGACGCGATCGTCGGTGCATGAACTAAAACACATTCGGCCTGTTCACATCTGTGCAAATGAACATTTCAAGGAGGGGGAAAATCACCGCCCTTCCCTGGAACCTCCTTGAGATTGAGTTTATGTAGATATCTACGCAGATTAATAGCGATTCCTGGTGCTTAACGTACACAATACCGTTACAAGCGAAACTTTGGGATGGTATTGCGAATTAGGATTGTACGTTTTTCCCCGCGTGTCCCCTTTCTTTCAGAAACGTATGAAAGATGTTCTACTGTAATATTAATAATAATAATAATAATAATAATAATAATAATAATAATAATAATAATAATAATAATAATAATAATAATAATAATACGCATCTGGGATAAAAGTATTTCAGGAATTTGTCACCTGTTAATCCATCTTGTCGTCTGTCGTGCCATACATAGAGCCCTATGGATGTCCCAAACGATATCCATAAGTTCCACGTATACATAAACAAGATGTCAGATATATTTACGTGAAGTTATAAAGAAATCGTTAAGTTTTTCTTATTGCAGAGCTTTTTAAATTTTTTTTCCCATATTGCATGAAGGCCAGTGCGAAACTTGTATGTTTCACCCCCGCATTTGAATTCAAATGCTAAAATCAATGCACCGGTCGGTTGCCCTCCCGTTACGGCCGCTTCTGTGTCCAAAAGAGCGTTGAAATAAGGTACGCCCATAGTGATAGTATGTCACTTTTATGGCTAATTATCGCCAACTGCAGAGCTTGTTCGCGTGGTCAATACTGTAGCACATGCAGCTAATTTCCATCTGCGGTTTTTCTATATATCCACCCACTTTCGTAGTCAACGTGGGTAACTTCCAAAAACTTACGCGCAGTGGGCGGCCCATTCGGTGGCGACGTTGGCGGGCTGTGGCAAAAGAAACGTACACATATTGCCGTTAGTTCCCAAGTGAACAGACAAGATTACTACGTTATAAAACTGTCGTACACCCTATAGCATGCATTGGTGAAGCCTGTAGAAGCGGCGTAGATGGACCTCCCCCCCCCCCCCCATGTATGTTTTCCATGTGTATGTGTGTTTTGTTTTGTTTTTGACAATACAGGTTTTTTTTTTTTATAAGTACGAGACCACATCAGGCTTATAGTGTTGTCTCCACAAACGAACTCTACGTCGAGGTGGAAAATCCTTGCAGCACATAAAGTTGTACTGAAACACATTGCCTTCTTAATTATTGACTTAAGGGCAGTGGTCTTTACAGAAAAGTTGTTGGACGTACACTTTATGACATACCATATTTTTTAATCTTAAGAAACAGGCGTATTTCGAGATAATAATCACTGAGTTTCAAGGCCCCAATCCAGGCGATAGCGAAACTGAGCGCTTCGGCCGCGCAGGAAAAGTGCCATCGGGATTGCGCCAGAACGGGAAGCGCACGTGGCGATCTTTGAGAAGAGGCGCGTCGCAGCAGAATTTGGTCAGAAAAAAAAAAACGCCAAGTCTTCCTAAATACCCCATCGGACCTCTTTTCATGTAATGTGTGATGCTTCTCCGTTTCTTCGCTAAACTCTCATAAAACGTGAAGATCTTTTTCGCTTGTCTGCGAGTATATATATATAGTATATCGCAGTGCTTGCCGCCTATTATACTGCGCTGCGCCATGGGAAATAAAAAAAAAAGTGGGGAAATTGCGATTGTGTTGGGTCTGGCACGTAAAAAAAAGAGGAACCCGATGTTGCATATCGATAAACTTTTCGCATTTAACCCCCGCAAAGCCGGATCGACAAGAGTTGCAGCGTGGGCTTGTTCGCGGCTCAATTGAAAAGCTTTGATGTGCAGCGCGAAACGACACGCGAGAAGGCGCACACGGACACCACGCAGCGCTAAGTCCGCATGTGCCTTGTCGTGTCCGTTGTTGTTTTGCGCTATACACTAAAGCGGAAACCAAAGGCCAATCAATTGATTTTTTTATTCATTTATGGATGGATCGAACTTTTCAAAAGCAATCCAAATTAACGTGATTGGGCCCCTAAAAGTCCCCGAGCCCCTTCCTTGGTCGACATCTGGCTCGGTCGTCTTATATATAGCCGATGTCCCGAAGAGCGACCTCTCACGAGAATCCTTGATTGATATGTGGGGTTTAACGTCCCAAAACCACCATATGATTATGAGAGACGCCGTAGTGGAGGGCTCCGGAAATTTAGACCACCTGGGGTTCTTTAACGTGCACCCAAGTCTGAGTACACGGGCCTACAACATTTCCGCCTCCATCGGAAATGCAGCCACCGCAGCCGGGATTCGAACCCGCGACCTGCGGGTCAGCAGCCGAGTACCTTAGCCACTAGACCACCGCGGCGGGGCTCACGAGAATCCTTACACTTGGTAGAATTGTAAGGATTGTCGACAAGGCCATGGGCGCTTGGGTCAGCTCCCAAAAAAGTTTTTAAAAACTCCACCCTGAGCGCCCGGCATGTGGTGCAACGTGGGTGATAGACATTCAGACTCCTCCCATTTAAAGTGTGGCTACTGTGCAACCTTAGCCCGCCTAAGAGAGAACACTGGGCGCTTACCTGCCCTCGGGGCGTCCCGTTTTGGCTTCATGGTCGGAGGTGGTGTTGAGCCAGTTGTGGTGCGCGCTCCCGGCGAACAGCACCACAGCCACCCACACGAGGCAGGCCAGCAGAAACAGTACGGCTACTGCGGACTCCGGGAACAGGGGCACCGTGCTCTCGGCGAACTTCCACATCTCCGCCTCGACGTTCGCCTCCTCATCGAGCGGCAGCCGTCCGCCTTCCATGGGATGGTACGGTCCATCGCCTTCCTGTCCGTCGGCGGCCGGTTGTCCCTGATCTTCTCCCTCCCGTTCTAGATGTTCAGCGGGGACACCGACACTCGAGTCGCGCATCATCCGATTCAACGCGTTTTCGTCCAACGTCCCGACCTGCTCGCCAACCTTGAGAGATTTGCGCTGGGGCAAAAATCAGGAACGAAATTCACCAAACTCTTCATTTGTGAATTTACAATATAATAGCATCTGGGTGTTTGCGTGCCGAAATCAAGGCGCGCAGTTGTGGAGGGCTCCGAAAATTTCGACTACCCCGTGTTCTGATATCGCACAGTATGCGGACGGCTCTAATTTCGCCTGCATCAATATGCGATCGCCGTGGAATCGAACCCGCAACCTTCGTGTCAGCAGCCGAGCACCATAGCCGCTACACTACCGTGGCACTACTTTTAGTGCGACAGACCTGCCAGCACCAAGATTTCTATATATTGCTTAAATTGTGAGCGTGTGAGCGGTGCTTCAGCATATATAGGCGCGGACGTGCGCACGGGGGGGGGGGGGGGGGGAGGTGCTCCTAGTCACCAATAAGGGGCGCAGTCTGCCCTGTAACGTTACTTAGTCAGACCAATCATTGTTCAATTGGCAGAGAGGTTTTTCGCAATGGCGGTCGAAGAACCGTGGTGATGCTTTCCAACAGCTGCTTACTTCCCATTTCTGCTCCCGGGAGGCCGTGGCCAAATACGGGCCATCGGGAAAAGCGTGTCATTGCTTCATTTTTTTATCCATTGCGCCAAGCATGTTGTCTTTTGTAATCCCGCACGCCTGTCGCTGTCGGTATTACCAGAGTCCTTCAAAATCGTTGAAGGGTTCCGGTATCACAAAGCCGCGGCCGCATACAAGCTTCCTGCAAATACCGTTTGTGGTATCTTTGGCGTTTTCATCGAGGGAATTCTTTCATAAACATGGAGGAGTGACCCATATATACAGGAGACCTATAGGAAGCTGCACGAGCCTGCGTAGCTTCTAATTTCAGACGCCTTTACAACTTGGCAAATTGATAATTTTCCAAAATATGTTCCCTCACAGATGTGCGCGTGCCTAAGAACGCAAGAAAGCGAACTGCGAGTGCTTAGAAACCGAGAAAGATAAGCGCTGGATACGATTGTTTTAGGGGCGAAGCTCGTATTAGTCTAACATTGTCGTGCGTCATGCGTAACCGAGAGAAGAAGAGACGAGAAAGAAAACGGTGTCACAGCATATCCACGGAGTGAATGATGATGAGTGGGGCAAAGCGTTCATTATAGTCCGTTTGTCCGTCTGCTTCGCCCCACCCGTCATCATTCACCTCGTGCATATGCTGTGATTTTTTTTCTTTTGCTTGGGTAGTGTAGATGCTTTGTAGGTATGCTATGGCCGTAGGGTACCTCCCGACATCTCAGACCTACTTTACGTCGAGAGAAGAAAATGCTTTGACGCTGCATCAGGGCATTTGCTAGAGGAGAGTTGAAAAGTTCAGACCCCTCCCCCGCCCCCCGGATATTTATTTTCCCGCGAGAAATCAGATCACAACAAGAGTTGCGTGCGCCGTAGTTTTCCGCCGCCGCCGGTGTCCGTAACCACTATCACGTGAAACAAGAAACAAACCAAACAAACGAAAAACACCAAGGACGCAATGGCATTCAAGCCCGGGTCACCTGCGTGCCAGCCGAGTATTCTACAAACGTGGTTACAGGATAAGGAATTATTCGTCCCATGGGGCACACATTGCCACTTATGTAGTACACCGGAAATAATTGAGCACAGAGCCACGACGGCGCTTTAGAACAGCACAGCAGCAACCTGGTGGAACACTAGGCGAATTGCGTAGCGAGTGGGTCCTCGAAGGCTCCAACCTATCACAAAAGCTTCAGGCATAATTATTCATCGTTATCAGCCACAGCATAAAAAAATTGCACAAAATTTCTTGCAAGTATCTGACGGGTATCATGCTTCTCCAAAGAATGACGATGGATGTCATAGTGAATGCCTTCTTAGCACACAAAAATTAGGGTAATTTATGGCGTAGTGGGTATACCCATCAAATGTGGTTGCAGCAATCACCCAAAAAGTGTTAACCACGGCCGCTAAATAAAAAAAAAAGTTTAACAGAAGCTCTGAAAGGCCGCTCTACAACTTTCGCCGTGACCGTGCTGCGCTTTCCGCGCAGACCTGGCGGCTTTAACTTTTCGGGTGATATGAAATATTTACACACAATGCCATTGACCACCAGTTGCCAAAGTTGGCCGTTCTACTGAAATACTTCCTGAAAAAAAAATTGTTTGAGAACGGCCCTGCGCTGCAGTTGCATTGAAAGCTCTAGCAACAAGGGCTTGCAAATCAATTTTCGTAATTGTCAATATGAGGGTTGCAGCTGTTTATAAGGAAACGATCTAGGGTGCCATAGTTTTGACCCCCCCCCCCTTTTTTTTGTTAAAGTCCAGAAAGTCGTGCTTAATTTGGCATATTCATCATCCGCCGAAGAACAGCGAGGTTTCGTTGCTTCGCGTTGCTTCAAGCAGAGACGCGTGTACATGTCTAAGGCATCTGAGAGTTTACTTGCAGTCTTTGACAAACGCTTTATTATTCAAGTCGCAAAATTAAGCATAAGGTGAGAAGGCTAGAGAATCAGTTTTGGGCAAGTTTTCGAGTATGATTGCGAGCTGGGGTAGCCTGGAATTTTTAGATGCGAAGCAGCTCTTTGACTAGCCTGTGTAATGCTGTCCCGTACGTCCTTACGATCCCCTCACCACAGGGGTTGGAGTGGTGCCAAGTAGGTCATGTCGCAGCAGCGCGTTGACGTCACTCTCTCCCTCACCCGCAGCAGCTGCCGGCCCCTCCACCCACTCGCAAGACAGCTCTCTTGCTTCACCCCTTCTACCACCCGCAACGCTCTACCGCACGTCGAGTGGAAACACTAGACAGATTTAGGGAAAACGGCCAGCAGGCTGCGTCCGTGTGGATGCTGCCGACGCGCAACTAAATTTGTCGACTCTTTCGGCTCGTTTATCTACGATGAAACTTACACAAAACCCAACCCGCCTTCCGTGTCTGTGTTTCAAACAAACGTTTACCCGAGTAAACGCTACACCTATAGTTTCGCTTCAAACTGTTCTTCCAGCACCCGCGTCGACATCCGTTTTAATTGGGTGAACGCCGTGCGCACCGCTGCTGCTTCGTATCCCATCAGGGTTTCCTTCGGGGAGATAACTTTTTTTCACTGTGAAAACCCACAGCCTGTTGAATGAGGTCATTTAATGCAATATATAGCTCCAGGGAAGACCTTGGCAGAAGCCTGTTGCCAAGTCAGCGCTGTGTGTGTCTTGGGTGCCTTTTTTCTCTGTGGTGTCGTATCACTGTAAATAGGGAACCGGTGTTTCTTTTTCACATGAAACGTAGAAAACGAGCTTTCAATCCAGATGATTGCATATCACCCGGTCCTCTTAACCCAAGAAACGAGGCATCAGCATGCTTATTTCTCGCGGAAGGCATCGCGGAAGTATATCTAGTTCACCATAGCGGAAGGCTCCCTCCTGGTGCTATAGAAGGAGCCTTACTCCCTTCAGCACCAGAACCATTGAATTTAAATTTGCATTTTTTCACGCATGATAAACGAATGATAACGCCATCCTATAGATATATGGTCACATAGCATTGAGCTAATAGAGCAAATTATTAAGAAGGACGCAGTAGTATGCATTTAACTTTACCTAGAGTATTTTACCGGGTTACCTTACCTCCTGTATTTTACGATCAGTGCATTTATCTATATGCATTTTACTTTCTTCTTTTACAATGCATGACGTGTTCTTTCTTTTTCTGCATGTTGTACGGATCTATATAACTTTATACCATGTATAATGCTCAGCTGTCTGTATGTGTAACCACTCCTTTTTGGGCCTCTATATTGACCTGCAGTATCCCGTGAATGAATAAATAAATAGATAAATATAAATAAATAAAATAAATAAATAAGCCATTGACATATCGACCGCATAAATGACGCGTAAAACTGCTCTTACCTGGGCGTCACCCTTCCCGGCTATGGAGGCCACAATATCATGAGAGACGCCCTGAAAGCATTCCAGCGGCGATGCCTGGACATCTTCGAGGAGCACGGCGGTGACCTGTTCGTCGGAGACAGCCTGCTTCGGTTGCTTGGACCTGCGGCTTCCTCTGCGCGCGGCACCCAACATGGTCACCGTGGCGACGGAGCTTCGCTTTCGGCCACCCGGGCAGGCCAGGGGCCACGTCAGCGGACTGGTGACGTGGCCACCCAGCTCCAGCACGACGTCTTCAAACTGCCGAGGCGAATATAGACAAAATCTTACACGTGCGTGAACGGCGTCACGAATTTGGGATTTATTTCCGGCTTCTTTCCGTGAATATGGATTCATTGTGTGGTTTTATCAACAGATAGTCAAGCACAGCGATGAGAATGCAGTACGTCATGGTGAGACAGCGCCAACAACGGGGCAGCAGGTGAACACTAAACCCTTTTTTTTTTCTGTGAATAAAGAAAGCCCGCGAAATATGAAAAATAACACGTTTCTGCACTCACAACCGCAAAAGAAACAAGCGCCCCCAAATCCTTCTGAAAGCAATCACTCTGCCTCTTTTCCGTTGCCAGAAACAGCGTTTTGCATAGTGGCAAGGTCGGGTGCCACCAACATGTGTTGCAGTTCTGCAGAGATTCCTTCCACTTAATTATACGTCGCTATCACCGTTCATATCTCACAGCCAACTTTACACATTGATCACGCGGCTGGATCACTGTTCTGATTAGAGCGTTTATAGCCTGACTGTGCAAGATGAAGGTAGCGCGTTTGTTTTGACGAGAAGTGGCACATTGCGCGATTTGTTTTTTTTTTCTTCATTGTTACTCGTTCTCTCAAATGAGCCTGTTTGGGGGCGCTTCTTTCTGATGCACACAGTGGTCTATATATAGCTCCGTGTTCTTTTTCGCATTTCGTGGCTTTTTTAACAGGAAAAAATGAGCACGCGGTTAGTACGTTGTTGAAAGTAGCACAAACAGACGTCATTTCAACATGCGCACACCTGCCTGATTGACATTTTGATAATTAGGTGAGTACTTGTTGAGTTAATAATATGATTATGAATAATTAATTGTCACTAACGAAAAAATAATCAGTAGGGGCTACTAGAGTACACTGAAAACATTATGCAAAGCTTTGCTACGTGTAACGCCATTCCTGTTTTTAAAAATCGCGCAGCATGATAGTTGGGACACCCCACGGAGGAAGGAAAGGTTTCCTTCCTCCGTGGGACACCCTGTATGTATACAGAGCACAGGAACGAAAAAGAAGGGCACAACGCTGTTTCGCCGAAGGGTTGCAAAGTTAAAGTTTCATTGTTAGACCGCATCCCGCCAGATTTCAACATTTATGATTACTCGCCGAACTATGTTATGAACAATGTGGTGGTATACTAACACACGTAGGCGCTCTATATCATGAACAACCTTCTCCCCACTTCAGGCGACGGTGCACAAAAAGGTAGCCCCTTGCAAATACAGCAAAGTTTTCAGTTGGCTCCGTGCAGCTGCCGTGGTATGGTCTCGAGACGAGCGGTCTCATGCGGCGGCCGGTAGCAACACGTAGCAGGAGGCATGGCCTTCGAGATAGCGCGCTGGCAGGAAGGTTCTAATGGAAAAGAAAGCGACGTTCCAATAGGAGGCGTTGGGTGGAGTTGCTGTACTCTAGCACGGTAGGTGTTCTGTGGTAAAGTCAGCGGGGGGCAGCGGTAGCATCGGGCAGACGGCAGCAGTGCTGCCAAATATCGTGGCATGTCACCGCGAAGTTTTCACCGTATGTCTTGTTTTGTGTCTAGTGTATTGTGCCTGAAAATCGGAAAGGATGGTGCGTATACCTCGGTGTCGATCCGATTACAAGAGAAATTACAAAAGAGTGTCAATGTTCTGGCTGCCTGGGCTGCTGTCTTAGAGACAGCGAACGGTGGGAAAAGTGGAAGTGGTGGTTTCACATTTGAAGTGCGAAAAACACTTCAAAGAGAGAGAGAGAGAGAGAGGTCTTTCGTGCGGACCAGCGGTTAATTAGAGGAGTTGTCAAGTTGCAGCGCGACGTTCCGAAACTTTAGCCGGACGCTCTGCTGAGTATTTCTCATGGCCTCCGGCGTGTTTGTTTTGTGCCAAAAGGTGCAGAGTTCGCCGGGAACCGTCGGCTGCACTAGAGACCGTCGAGGCTAGGTGCATCGACACTTTGCACGAGCCCCTTTGACACCACAGCATTGGACAATGACTCAGTTAATGAAGGTGAGCATACTGACCGCTTCTTCCTCGTAGCATGTCAGGAATACTGACGTTCGATAAGTGAAGTGCTCGTCGTTTCCCTTTATACAAGCAGTGTAGAGAGGTAACATGCCGAACAGGCGGAGCTACATGCAACTCCTCACAGCTTGGAAAAAATCAAAGCACACATATCTTGCATGCAACAGAGGATTCACCGCAACCAATAGAAGTTTGCTATAGGCTGACGGCGTAGGAGAGGTTGCACCATAATGATGTAGAAAACTTGCGAGAGCTGTAAAAGCGTGAAAAGTCCACTTTCGACATCAATGCGTCATGAGCACGAGGAGATAGCTTTCTGCGTCACATGTTGACGCCTCCGGCGCGGGACGCAGTCGGTCAATTTACAGTTTGACAAGGCATGTAAGGCTTTCGCCTTTACAGTAAAAACAATAAAGAAGGACAGGACAAAAATATCTTGAGGAAGCTACACAGCAGAGCAAAGGACTGGGAAACTACCTTGCATGACCAACTGAACTTTAAACGCGCTACGGTGCCATAGTGATGAATCAACGCAAAACAAAACACGAAAGCCAGGGAAAAGCCGGACGTATTCCTTGATCCCCGTCGATTGCTTAAATTCAAAGCACTGATGCATTAAGATTAGCTGTTAATTTGATGAATACGAGTATAGGTTAAAATATCTTCATGTGCAAACAAAAGGTATATAGCCTGAAAGATTCGGCATGTGCTGTTAAGAGTTGCAACCGCTGCACTTCCGCCACACGTTAGCATCCGCCATAGCACCTCCGCAACACGTTAGCATCCGCCATAGTCCTTGAAGGATTCTGGATCGTCCACAAATTTTCACTAAATGCTTCAAGAAAAAAACATGCTTTTTCAGCGGTATGCAGAGCTCACAAGGGAAGCAACATATGCGTTCCTTGCAAACGAATTTCTAGCTTCCAAGGCCTCATTCGACAATAAATTTCATTGTATTAGAGCTGTCTCAAAATTTCCTTGAACGTAACATCTCTCTGAAGTTGTAATCAGCCTTCACGGGTACATTTAATCACGTTTGCAGTTCCGTATGATCCTGTACCTATATTAAACTTTCGCTGAAGTTGCAGCGCAGTTTCGAAATTCCGGTTTAACCAATTCATAATTTAAAAGAATAGATATGCATATGGGATGCAGCAGATATGGCTAATTGACATTTAACCATAAAAGCAATATGGCACTGGCAAAATTGCGAGAACCCTTCATTGAAGCTTCGCTGATTTTCTCACGCGCTTACACATTTATGTGCGAAAAAGATGAAACATGGTACGCCCATCAAAGGCAGCTCCCTCCAACCTGTGTCGTCGAGCTTTCTTTCGATGGGGCTTCTCGCACTAGGCCTCGCCACAGGCCTCCACACATGTCACACCCGCTGTCGCCATGCGAGGATGACTCCGCATCGGTTGTCAGGGACGCCCGCGAAGACTTCCTCGCTAAGGACTTCTTTGACCTGGCTTTACGGACACCCGGCATGGCAGCCGCTCCAGAGCTGGTCGCTTGGAACGAGAAATCAAGGGAGTGGGAAGACTTCCTCGCTAAGGACCTCTTCGATGTGGTCTTACGCGCATTAGGCATGTCAGCTAATCTCGAGCTCGTAGCTTCGAACAAGAAATCCGGAGACTGAGAGCCGCGGCCTTTTTCGTTTGCTGGCCGCGAAGGCAGTGCACCTGGACCGCGATGCGACATCCTCCTATGCTCGCGCCATGAGGTGCTTGTGATGCCCTGCGCTTTGTGCTCGCCTCCGGGTCCAGCTGCAGGACGCGCTGGCAACTCGGCTTTCTTCGCGTTTGCTTTCGACAGTCGTCTGCCTCCCTGTTCCGTGGACGACGCAGTGTCTCCAGGGAAGGCATCCTCGGGATACATGGCTGCCAATGCCATGGAAGCTCTGCGAACCTCGCTGCTCGCAAGAGCTGCCCTCTTCATTAGCTCAGTGGCGAGGAAGTCCCGCCGGCGCCGCTCCCTCTCGTTGTTATACTGCAGCCTACGGAGCGCCAGGGAAGCTACCCGGAGGTCCTCGGCGACTGCAGCCGTGTACTTGATGTGCTGCGTAGTGTCCGCGGCGCAGCGTGTTTCCCACGGCTGGTAGGGCGTAGAAGCACTCGCTGTGCGCTGAGGAGGCTCCAGTCGCCCAACAGAAAAGCGCCAGGCTCGAGTAGAATCAAAATCCTCGGCGAGCTCACGTGTCTCAGCGTGCAGCCTGCTTTGCGAAAGGCGCATGCATGAGCTACGCTGCTTGGCGCTGCTGTCTCGCCGAGATTCCACCGGCTCCATAACGTCGTAATCCTCGTGTGAGTTTGGCCGCATATCATCAATCGTACCTGAAAGCGAACCAGGGCTGGCGAGAGGATAGTCCTGTGTTCGTGACGGCCTCCTAGAAAACGATGACCAGGAGGATCTTCGAGGCAACGTATCCGCCGCGTACAAGCTTCTGGACGGCCTTCTCGCAGCCGGTCGAGACATCTCGATTTGGCCATACGCGAAAAACCGTGAACTTCTGGGCGTCGATTCAATCTGCGGAAGTTGTGCGACGGATGTCCTTGCAGATGACAACTGTTTAGGAAGCATTGACGAAGGCATTCCGTCTTGTAGGACTTGTGGCTCAGCCATAGCGAAACCGTGGTAGAAAGAGTCTTCTGTCCGGCTTCCTTGTCTGTATAAAGCTGGCACAAAGGGCCCGCCAGGCGGATTAGCCGTATTGGTGAAAAGAAGGCTTGATCTTCTGATAGGAGTCTGAATTGATGTTTGCGGCCCGTATAAGTTGATGGCCTGCGCCATGTCGCCTTGCGAAATTTGTGGTGGTTGGGCATGTGTTGATGCCTTGTCTAACGTCTGCTCTGATGAAGCCGTTTCTGTCGACACCGCGCGTGAAACTATCATCGGCCTACTAACTATTGTTTGGCCCGTATAGTCCCGACCAAATAACGGCTTCAATGGCACGGACTGCTCTACAACAGCATGTGTTGGTACAGACTGATCTATAAATGATGCGGTTGCTCCCGGCACATGTTGTGACGCCATAGGCTCAGTAAGCGACGGCTCTTTTGGTAAATATGTTGGCATTGGCTGATTAGGCAATAAATAGCTAGGCACCATTTTACCTTGCACCTGTTCATCAGGTTGAATTGGTATGGGCTGCCCTGGCGTTAGTTGACTAGGTAACGATTGGCTGGGCGTGTACCCTTGTATCGGTTCAGCAGGCATCGGTTGATCAATATTCTGTCCTCGCATCGCATGATTCACGGTCGCCTGCTGGCCTGCTAGGTTTTGATCAAGTGTTGGTTGACCGGAATTCGGCTGAACATACCCTTCTTGCAGACTAACATTTGGCTGAACAGTCACCAGTGGCGTTTGTTGAGCTGTCATAGGTAGCTGCCCACCAGGAGGCGCAAGTTGGCCAGGCATCGATTGAAAGGCGCCATAAGGCATCTGTTGACCTTGAGGGGCCAGGAATAGTGGAGGATGCAGTTGAGTTGATACATTTGATGCTGTTGTAAAATCCGCAGGGGGATGCTGCGATGCATCTTTCCGCTCGACGATGCCAAGAAAAGCTCCAATTTTCGAGAGGACACCCGAACTGGTTTGTGGGGCACTTGCCGGCGGAAGCTGCACGATCGCATGCTGCGGTATCGGGGGCTGGGCTGGATAAGGAAGCGTACCCGGTGGGTAAGCGAAATATGACTGTGCTGATGCATCTGGAGCCGAGGGCGGGTGAAGCGCCACTGGACTGCTGGGCAGCTGAGAAGCGACATGCTTTTTCTTCTTTTTCCTTTTTCTGGATTTCTTGCCTTTGATTGCGTCCTTTGCTTCGCTTCCGCTCAGCGTCTCTAAGCCCACCTTGGAATGGCGGCCCTTCTTGACAGCACTGGCCTTGCCAGCGGACTTGCCTTCTTTGCTGGAAGACTTTTTGGTAGCGTTGGCCTTCCCATCGGACTTGCCTTCTTTGCTAGATGACTTCTTACCACCCTTTGGCTTCTTCACCGAGCCCGTGCTGGTGTCCCTGTTGGAGGCCGCTTCCGAAGCAATCTTTCCGAGGTTGCCATGCGTGGCCAAGTCTTCGGCTGACTTCTTTTTCTTCTTCTTTGGTTTCTCGCCACTCGTCGAGCCGTCCTCCTTGGTAGCCTTCATTGAACTCTTCTTGGGTTCTGAGTCCGCTTGCGGCGCATCCGAGGGCTCGCCTGACTTATCATCGCTTCCTTTCCCAGCTTCCGCCATGGGTAAAATCGCAGACTGCTGTAAATGTAGCCCTCCACCGAGAAACGCTGGCAGCAGCGTGCATGCAAGGGTAGGATAGATCTAGAATCACGCGTGCTCGCGTGCGCACGCTCTTGTTCCATAGCATGTGTCCCTCTGCGACGTCAGAAACAGCTAGGTCAAGATGGTTTTACAACGAAGAAAAAATACAGCTTTGTTTGAGGAGTGGTGTTTCTGGAACCCATGTCATATTTATTGCATTTGTATGTACTTATTTTCTCCCTCACCACTCCCCATGCGCTTGTCTTTGGCGCAGGATGAATTAACCGAATGAGTACAAACGTGGCCCAATAAGCATAGGAGACGTGACCGGCTGTTGTGTTGTACGGGTAAGGTCGTGAACCGCAATATGATATATATTAGTGAATCGTGTAATTAATTTATGAAAGTTGGCTAGTTAGCCCTTTATTGATGAACGTTAGCTACCGATAACACGCTCCTCGAAAGAGCGATTCTTCGTGGGTGTCATCCGGGCAGTACAGCGAGTCTGAAGCAAATTTTTTTCACGAAGGAAAATACAGAATTTGAATACGAGGTATGCAAAATCGCTATATATCGAGGGGCCTATGGGCGGGACTGCAAGCTCTGCTCATCGAACACGCGCTACACCCCACGACAAATGGTGCATTCCAGTGCCATATGTGACGTGTTGCGTATGGTGAACTTGATTATACATCTATTGTTGCGCAACCTCAACGTGCCACAGTCACCACCTTCAGGTGAAAACGAGGGGAAAGCAGCGGACCGTGATAAAGAATTCGAAGACCGGTGGGAGGCTCTGCAGCTGGTGACGCAGGGCCCTGAAAACCAGCTAATGCGTTGGTGAACAGAAACAGGTAGCTCAAGCAAGTCATGCGTACCTGGAATGATGAGGCCAACTACCTCAAAAGTGAAGTACAAGGTGCCTGGTCAAACAAACAATAAATGTCATTTCGCTTTCTCGTACAATATCTTGAAAGTGGAGGTTTCGAATATAAGCCGCACTCACAGACACTCGCATAGTTCTTATTCGGGGTTTTCATTTGTGTATTAGATGTGTCATTCACCACATTGTGTTAATACGTTTTTTAAACATCAGTTATCGTGCTTTCTTCAAGATATATAGATGCGTGTAATGTGCTGCTCGTCTATGTCATCTATGCTGCTGCGCAGTTGCATTCGCAGACGTGTCGATCAGTCATGTGGAGGGTTGGTAGTGTTGACTTGCATAAAAAAAAAAAAAAACTCAATCTTTACACCTACGAGGAACGTGGCTGCTGACAGAAAATACTAGCCGCGTCTTTTAAGCTACGTTTCCTGGTATCTACCCTTACTAACGTCGTAAACCGGTCAAAAACCTGGCCTGACTATCCCGTCGGAAATTGAAGGGCTCACAAAACAAACCCAAGCGCACTGTTAATAATAGGCAATACGAAACACATTGTTGGAAGTGGCACTGTCGCTCCAGCGTTGGCGAGGATGCATCGGAAGTGATGTGACGGTTACACTTGATGTAACGCAAGTTTGAAAACGCGTGGGCATAGGTGTCGTTTGCTATTCAATCTGATGCGATAACTTGCAGGTGTCTCGATAAAGCGGAATAGGCGGGTGGAAAGCAACAAGCCCTTAACCTAGAGTAGCGACAGTAGCAACGCATCCAAGCTACGGTAGCTAGCCGTAACGTTGGCTAGCTGGGCATTTGCCGGGCACCCGCTTTTCTGAAAATCGCCAATCAAAACAAGGATGGCGCCTTTTCTAGGGTAGCGGCTCTTTGCGCAACGAAAAGTAGTCCCACAAGCGGTTGTATATTTCATTGTACAGAAGTATATCATCACGCAACAGTGACGATAAGCTTAAACAGAACGTCGAATAATGTTAGGCCGCTCAACTTAAACAATGAATTTTGCTGTTTCACTCGCCAGTCGAAGAGCTGCGTGGCCCTTTGAACACACCGGGCCGCCCCGTGCATGTGTCACTCACGTTGTAGCCCATTCCCATTAGGTTGGGACTGGGACAAATTTTGTCCCCTCGGATCGGGATCGAATTTTTTCTCGCAGGAGTAATCGGCTTCCAAAGTGAGTACAAGAAACTTTTCTACTTGTTGTTCACGGTGGTTAAACGGCCATGGGCTGCGTAAATTAATCTTCGCGCTGTCGAGACGCGCTGCCCGAGCAGAGCCGGTCAGTCCTATGCCGGCCCTTTGTTTTGCCCGCCCTTGTGCGCGTTTCACTGAGAGTGAACGACGAAGATTTGCAGGAATCCGCGCGCTCTCACGCTAGCGGAGTCCGTAAAGTGGCGGTAGGATGCAGCGAAGCCGAGCGTAGTTGCAGCATCGGTAGTACCTAGCGTGTGATGCTTGCGAGGCCTAATTTGGCAGTTCGCCTTTTTGACTAGCGCCATGGCGGGATAGACGCCGGCGCACTTGGGTAGCGTGCGTGCTTCCCGGCGACCCGGGTGGGTCCACTCGCGGTCTGTGCGCCTCTTTCGGCGATCTGTTCTCGGATTTGGCGCGTCGGCGAGACACCTGGCGTGCGCGTCATCTGTGGCGTTTCTTTTCCATTTCGTGACGCAGAAAACGATGGCCGAGGGTAACGGGGACGCAGCGACGGTTGAGCCCATGGACGAGTCTAGCGCGACTGAACAAAGCGCCGACTACGCCAAGCTTGTGGAGCACGGTCTACAGGAGAAAGTCGCCGCTCAGCTCGATGCCATTTTCCAGACGGGGAAACTGGCGTACGCCGACTTGGACGAGCGCGCGCTTGACGCGCTCAAAGAGTTCCCCGCTGACGGCGCCTTGGCTGTTCTGAAGCAGTTCTTGGACAGCAGTTTGGAGCACGTGTCCAACAAGTCTGCCTACCTTTGCGGCGTGATGAAGACGTACCGGCAAAAAAGCAAGCTGCCCGGAGCGTCGGGCTCGGGCTCCAACAAGGGTCCAGACGAGGACAAGATCCGCTCCATACTCGAGCGAACGGGCTACTCGCTGGACGTGACGACGGGCCAGCGCAAGTACGGCGGCCCGCCTCCCGGCTGGACGGGGTCGCAGCCAAGTAGCGGCTGCGAGGTGTTTGTCGGCAAAATCCCCAAGGACATGTTCGAAGACGAGCTCATACCCCTGTTCGAAAAGTGTGGGAAGATCTGGGATCTTCGGCTCATGATGGATCCACTCTCGGGCCTCAACCGAGGCTACGCCTTCATCACCTTTTGCAACCGCGAGGGCGCCCACAACTCTGTACGCGAGGTGAGTGTCTGGCGCCGGACTTTGCACGCAGCGCACTCACTCACTGTGCACTTTTCTCGCAGCTGGACAACCACGAAATCCGGAAAGGCAAATACATCGGGGTCACCATCTCAATCAACAATCACCGGCTTTTCGTGGGCAACATCCCAAAGAACAGGGGCAAGGAAGAGCTGTTTGAAGAGTTCTCCAAACATGCACGTGAGTGGGCTTATCGCCGTGCAGAATTCGTACGAAAGCTCCTCTGTAGAGCCTGGCTTGCAAATCGCAATAGTCTGCTATGATTCTGTCTGCCATATGACAATGTTTGAATGAAAAAATTTTTTATATGCATCTATGAAATATTCTGTTGCATTCCAGTGAGGCTTGTACTACACCTATGTTGGCACTGTCACCAGAACTTTAAAACAGTAACGTGTTACAGTTAAGTTCATCAGTTATGACTAACACTGCATTGACTTTGTTGCGAGCTGCACTGTATTGTAGAATGAATATGCATGTCAGTGGGAGTTTATAAATTTTCCCACAAGACGCACAAGCGGGCAGTTTTGTAGGGGTCTACTGTAAATGGTCTGCACACGAGATTGTGCAGTGTTTGTTGAGTAGCATCAATTGAAGCGTTGTATGACATAAGGTGTACATTATGTCTTGTTTGTTACTTTTTGTGTCAAGTTTGACATGCAGGAGACATCCTTCAATATGAACCACTGCATCTGCTTTTCATCCCACCACGCTACCAAAAAGGTCTTTGTGTGGTACACTTGTGCTAACAGAAGGTGCCTTGCTTGGTTATTGACATTGAACACACTGGTAACAACATGCACCCAGCCAAGATTGAGAGGTGGGTGTGGATGAAGCTTGGATCGTAAATACAATTGCTGATACAGAAAGCACACAAAATTAACTATTGTGGCCATCTGTCCAGCTGCCCTGCATTTGATATGCAGCGACAAATCAAGATCTGCTGGATCTAAGGATGAAATGCAGAGTGGCATTCTGTAGGTATAACTTGGGATTACTTATGTACACTGAACCACTGCAAACGCTTCATAGGGTCTAATGAGCGCAGAACATTCAGTGTGTAAAAAAAGTTGTTTGCTGCCATGTGTCTTAGGGTATTTCGTGCCATGTTTCTGAACAACCTCCGTTGTTATTGGTGCTTAGCACTTAATCTGTGGCTTGCTGGCCGGCCCTATAGTCAAGTTCAGCTGACACGAGTAAATAGGATTTTTTGGAATTCGCAACAATTTTTATTTCAATACTTATTTCATTGCAGAAGGATTCAGGAATGTTAGTCCTGCCGATCTTATAAGGTCTTGGTGCAATATTTTTAGCAATTCTCTCATAAAATAGAACTTTGTAAATGAAGTTCTCTGTAGCAGTGTCAAAGGGGTGGTGCCACCAAATTTGTGGCATGCGTGTTCTTTTCTGTAAGTGGTTCCTTCAGCTCCAGGAAGCATGATACACGCACCAAGATTCATGTATTTTCACTAAATTATTTAATATTGCTCTATTTATGTGGACCTTTTTCGGTTTCACGGCGCCGAGTTGGGCAGTGACGTGGATGCATAGGTGGCTTAGTCACATAGTGAAGCATATCATGCCGAGTTTCGTCTGCTCTCACACACGAGTGCTAGCAAAACGAACGCGCTGACAGTTGCCATGGCCAGTTGCAGTAGCATCCAGCCAGTGCCAAGGCAAAAGGCAGCCGGAAGGAAACAAAGATTTTACATTTACAACGTATGTACAGAATGTGTACGAGGAAGCCGCCAGATGCGCCGGCCTTTTA